CCTCGTCGCCTTACCCAGCGGCGGGGTATGCGTAACGCATTCTTCCGGGTAAAAAGAAAATGAGAGAAACGAAACGTAAACTTTAAAAATGACTTCAATAAAAGATGGTTTATGAAGTCACCTTTTGTTAATGTGAAATATAGAATAATACACCTGCATTTTGATTGCACTGTCATACACTATAATAACAAAGTATAAATAGAAATACATTTTAATAGTAAAGTTATATAGAGCAGACTTATCTCCGCTGGCAGTGCCCGTTCACGAGCATGACGCGTGAACCAGCCATCGCTTCGTTCAACCATATTTTAGGGAACATAACGACTAGCCTCACACGTCACCGCCCAAGAGATTTTTAAGAGAGCATGCCTACTCATAACTACCCATGGGCGTACCCAGCTTCTGGCCTAGGGAGGGCAAGATAGATTTTTAGTCGCATCGTCTGCGGCTGTTTTGTCATACACACTACATAAACACACCTACACATACACAAAAATGTCATATCTATCTTTATTATTGCTCAGAATGTATGTGCGTCTCACAATCACAACACATTATCAATCAGACAGATTTCTATACTTTGATAAAGATACTGAATGAATATTTTCCAATCACCTACGTTTGATTTAGCTCCTTCAAAACAATAACATGTCAAATAAAATAAATGCTAGTCTCTCGCAACCTTAGCTCACAGCTCCCTACCGAATATTACCGATAGCAGGCTAGATTCGGTAATTTTCGTCCGCATGCGGTTTTTTTGGCAATTGCACAATTGTACTGCACTTAAAAGTTAGCACAAGTCCCCTTTACACTTTGATTAGTAATGAGACGCATTCATACATGTTCTGCGAGATCCCCCCTGGGTACGCCCATGTAACCACCCAAGAATAGCAAAATTCTTACCCACAATGAAAAGAAACCCAACACCGTAATTTTTTGTGTTCTTATACCGAGTTCTTCTGTGAGGTGAAAGTTACTTTCCCATGACAGGCTCCAATTTCAGAGCGAAATCGGTACTCTACCGCTTTCTATTCATCCTGAAGCGACTCTCCATAGTATCTTAACAATTATAATTATTAAAAAATCCATTTGTATTAATCACGACAGTGTTGCTCCACGTTACGCGCTTTCAAGGCAGAGCTGAAAACCAGTGCTTTGCTCTCAGAGCCAGGGTATCGCAAAATTTTTGCCTTTTTCTGTCGTTGCGGCACACAGTTACATATTTAGTAATTAATTCTTCCATTTGTTTACTGGTGCTGTACTGATGGAAATAAATGATTTACCTATCTATCTATCTAATGGTGAGGACCACAGAACACTGAAAAAGGTTAGAAGGGCCTTGTTATTTGTGTGCAAATGCTCATAGCTTCGCCAAAACTTGGTTCTGATTGCGTTGTTGCTTTCGGGTCAATTATGCTTTAGTGATATAATCCTAATGTGATGTCAATATGATGTTGATGCCAAGTTGACGTCGTTTTTAAATGGTATTATGAAACTTTCTTAATGTCACATCAAGATCATATCAATATCATATCCTGTATCACATTTTTGACGTTTATGCGATACTGTTTTAAGTCAAAAAGTTGAACGTATTACGCATTTAAGTTGATATCAAGTCGATATCATTTTAAAGAGTTGATCATAATACGCATAAGTTGATGTCTAGTTGATGTCATTTTGATATCGCATTTTTAAAGTAATGTGTAACGTAACGTAAAAATTGACATCAAAACAATATCACAATTAGCGAGCATAATTGGTCTGCTGGTTGATTGTTTGATGTTGTGTCGTTTGATTGGCTATTATCTATTAGGTGGAAGTATAGTGGGGGCGAGCCGGCGACATCGGTTCCCGAACAACGGTCAATGATCACACTTCTAACCTTTTTCTGTGTTCTGTGGTGAGTACATTAGCAAACTTACGATGTTAAATTACTGTAAAAGTCGTATCAATCTTAATTCTTTCAAGGGAATCAAATCAAAATTGTATAAATTCCAAAAGGCGATCAAGTCAAAAAAGTTGGTTAATGAAATGTGCTTGATAAACAATTGAATAAAGGAAAATTCTGTACCCTTAGCACGAACCAATATCGAATTCGTATCGTTTGCGAGTACGAAATGTCACTGTCAAATTTTGTATGGAAACTTGAATAGCAGCGCCACAAACTACGTAACTAGAACTAAAAATCAGTACATATTTGACAATGACATTTCGTACTCGCATTCGATACGATTCGATATTGGTTCGTGCTAAAGGTACTGATTTATGAGAATAAGCAGTAGGAACAACTGTTTCGCAGTCGATACTGTAGTCGTTATGTCTATTATATGAGACGAAAGGAAACAGTTGTTCTCCGCGCTAACCTCTAAACCTAATTTTCTGTTACTTGAATTGCGGCGTATTGCAACTTGTTCAGAATGTAGAGAATTCAATTTACTTTTATGTTGTTACAGAGAGCAGGGCTGCTCATTTCTATTTCAATCGACTGCAGTAATAAACATTTTCAATTGTATGGAATAAAATAATGTTAAACTGTTTACAATAAAGTGGTACGTGTTATTTAGATAAGACAAACTGCATCGTTATTAATCTGCATTCAATTCGAACTTAATTTTCTAAAAATACTTATTAAAAATACGACTTAGTTTTCACAGCTTTTGTTACTAAAACTAGTAGGTGAGGACCACAGAACACTGAAAGAGGTTAGAAGGGCCTTGTTATTTGTGTGCAAATGCTCATAGCTTCGCCAAAACTTGGTTCTGATTGCGTTGTTGCTTTCGGGTCAATTATGCTTTAGTGATATAATCCTAATGTGATGTCAATATGATGTTGATGCCAAGTTGACGTCGTTTTTAAATGGTATTATGAAACTTTCTTAATGTCACATCAAGATCATATCAATATCATATCCTGTATCACATTTTTGACGTTTATGCGATACTGTTTTAAGTCAAAAAGTTGAACGTATTACGCATTTAAGTTGATATCAAGTCGATATCATTTTAAAGAGTTGATCATAATACGCATAAGTTGATGTCTAGTTGATGTCATTTTGATATCTTAGTTACTCTAGTTTTACCCAACTACTACTAGTAACTTCTACAAGCGGAAACTGGAAAGACAAATAGAACAACTCACGGTAACATAAATATATTATAGTTAGAAATAACTTGGTATTGACGTGTTCATTCATTGTTCACACTCACATTTTATTGTTTACATAAGGCTCGAGCATACTAAGGCCGGCCGCACCGCAACACATCGTAACATTACAAAAAAACGGATATGTGCTGTTCGTGTTCGTGTATAGAAGTGAAACCTACAACCAAATATGAACACGTTTAAGTCCTTCATGACTAGGTACGTCTTAAAGACAACACCTGTGTTAAAATTCAACTCTTTAAAAGAAAAACAGACTGACTGAATTATTGCGTTGCGGCGTGGCTCGATACGACTCCAATGTGCTTCGGCGCAATTTAGCAATGCGGTGCGCTACGGTTAGGGATGCAAACGATACATCGATGTTAGTAAAACATCGAGGTATCGGTCATAAACATCGATGTTTTGATGAGCGATATATCGTCGATACATCGTTCATTACGAACATCACATACATTTACAAACATCGACATCGTTCTTGTCTGTTCGGATTTTCGGAATCACTGTGACGTTCGCTCGCACTGCATTGCTATGCTGACACGTAAAGCGTAGATGAATTTGATTAAAATAATTTGATTCTTTGACTACATACCTATACACATTTCAGATTTCTTGATTGGGTGAGTAATGTACTCGTTGAATTAATTTATAAAGTAGTTAGGTTTTGATGGTTTGTTTTTTCTTTAGGTTTTTGTTGGCGGGTAAACGAAAATTGAGCGTATAATTTTAAGGTTAAAAAAAATGACAAAACGAATAGCTTGTTGATTAAAGCAGTTTGTGAACTGACAGTTCATATTAATTTGTTTATTTGCCTAATTCAATGACGAGAATCATTTTGTTATAATTTAATTTACCATCATGTAATTCTTATTTTTATTAACCTTTAAGCATCGAGCATACTTATATAGAGCGGTTTCGTTATTTGTTACAATGAAGTATCCTATTAAAAATAAAAAAACATCGGCAAAAACATCGATATATCGCTCTTATCAACGATATTTTTGAACATCGATGTTTTCATGAAGATTTTTCAGAACGATGTTGCATCCCTAGCTGCGGTCCATCGCGGCTTTAGTATGCGCTAGCCTTAAAGACATGGGCGCGAAGAAAATAATATGAAAATGACATTGAAACTAGAAAAGTCAATCCTTGTTCATAACCGTGACATAGTTTGTTCTCACACAGAACACCTTGATATTACAACTGGGAAATCATATAGGTATGTGAGAAATCAGAATATTTTCCAACTTGTTCAATGGTGCCATCATCCTGGGTAGATTGGTAGAGTCTAATCGCAATTAACGTTAACATTATGAATCAGTTAGAACTGTTATGGGATGCTTAAAACAGAATAACTTAATTGAGACATTGTTTTATGATCAGTATGTGCAACCAGGTGCAACCCTAACCAACCAAAAGGCAAATAACCTACCTACGTAAAAAGTTAAGTTCCAACATTACCTAACCGGGAATCGAGCCTGGTAGCGCAAAATAGCATAAACAATGACCAACGTGCTCCCATCTGAGTATCTCAGCTAGTAAGAATTTAAAAATAATGTATGTCCTAATCTTCTCAAACTGGTTTATAATACAATCGTGTACTTATTAAAATTTTGACATCTAATATAAAATTAAAGGTTCCCAATGATGACTTGAAGGTTTCGTTCAAGGCCAAGAACGCGTTGAAAGATTAATTCAAGGGAGTCCCATTACTCGCGCGTATATGCAATCAACTTGTCGACCCGATGAAATATGATCCGATGACGTTATAACGCGATTAAACGCTCCCACCGAAAACTTCATCCAGTCTGTGCTCGTCACCGGAATCATCAAGACGAAAAATGTCCTATTATACACATAACAGCTTATTTCCGGGTTCAACTCATCCGATTCCAAATGGATACGCCGCCCAAATGGAGGACAAACATAAGATGAACGTAGTTTTTCTGGACGTCACTCCGGCCAGGACTCCGTACGGGAAACCTCCTTCCCCGAACGCGATAGCACCTTTGGAGAATAACTTAATCAACCCGATCATCAACAGAGACATTATCTACGAAAACCTCAAGCCTGTGTTTACTGTTTTGCGCGTAATGGGAGTCCTCCCGATCACCAGACCTTCTCCTGGCACAAACAGATTCCAGCTGCTGTCTCCGTCGATGATTTACTCCGCCATCGTTTACTTCTCTATGATTACCTACGTCTTATACCTGTCCCTTCATAAAGTTCAAATCATGAGGACGTCAGAAGGCAAGTTCGAAGAGGCTGTCATCGAATATCTGTTTACTGTGTACCTTTTCCCGATGATAGCCGTTCCTATTCTTTGGTATGAGACGCGAAAAATTGCCGGCATACTCAACGAGTGGGTTAAGTTTGAGGTAAATTATCCATCCATTTATATTTTTATTGGTACTGAAACCTAACTATTCACTGGTAAAAACAATATTTCTGCTTACAGACTGCTTACCGTCAGCTGTTGGGCCAAGTCCTGAGCATAAAAATGTATAGGAAAGCATTATTGATCAGCATCATCATCCCAGTTCTATCCACCACATCTGTAATCATCACACATGTTACCATGGTTCATTTCAAGCCGATGCAGCTCATACCATACGTTTTCTTGGAAATCCTCACTTACATGATGGGAGGTTACTGGTACCTCATATGCGAAGCTCTAAGTGTGTGCGCTAATATCTTAGCAGAAGACTTTTATCAGGTGCGTATCAATACTCCTTTTTTTATTGAATTAGGTAGGAAAATTGTTGTCTTAAAAACCCAAAGATCAAATTTTTTCAGAGGCTAAATTCATTAGATTTTCTTGTGAAAGTGTTGACTAAAGTAAGCATTGGTTGATCTTATTGGTAAGCTTCTCTCATAGCCTATCTATCCTCGCGTTACCACGAAGTTTTACTAAGTCATTGACCCCATTCCCTAACCCTAACACTGCAGGATCACTAGCACTATAGAATATTGTAATTAATTTTCGTGCAATCTTCTCTTATATGGAAGATACTATTCCCATGACGGCTCTTCAAACCAATCAATTAAATCATGCAATTCCTACTTCGAGAAATTATAAGCCTCAAAATTGTAATTCCGTTTTAGGCTTTACGAAACATCGGACCAGCAAAGAAAATATCGGACTACCGCGCTCTCTGGCTACGTCTGAGCAAGATCGCTCGGGACACTGGGATTGCTAACTGCTACACGTTCACCTTTGTTAATCTCTACCTGTTCCTCATCATAACGCTGTCCATCTACGGCCTGCTCAGTCAGATCTCGGAAGGATTCGGGATAAAGGACGTCGGCTTGGCGGTCACGGCATGTTGCAGTATCCTGTTGTTGTTCTTCATTTGCGACCAGGCGCATTATGCTTCCAACTGCGTAAGTAGCAAATAAGCAAAAACCTTAAAATCAAAGGTTATCAACCTATAAAAGTACCCACTCACTGTACCTACTAATAATAAAAAACCTGATATTAAACCTACTCTTATCTCTTGTTGGTGGGTGTAAACAATTGCAGATGTAGTCAAGTAAAAGACACATTTTTGGCAGTTTTGCCAAAAAAGCTTAACCTCATCAAGCGCACCTAATAATCCGTATTGAGTCCATGTGGTGAATTATGACCCATTCATCCTATTGGATCCATAGAAACAGGCTGTACACCAGCAATTGGATCATTAATAGGATGATGATGATGCCTTATCTCTCACCAGGTGCGTTCCAACTTTCAAAAGAAGCTACTGATGGTGGAACTTTCATGGATGAATACGGACGCGCAAACAGAGGTGAACATGTTCCTACGTGCCACTGAAATGAACCCCGCGCAGATCAGCCTCGACGGATTCTTCGACGTCAACAGAACGCTGTTCAAATCAGTGAGTTTTATGGAAAAAGCCACCCAATAACTAGACTGTGGGTAAATGCCACTAGACGATAGACGCTAGCAATACCAGTACGTTCTCTAATTTTCTATCGAAACGCGTGCTGGGAGCAAACATCATCAAAGATATGTCACCTTTGTGGAGTCAGGAGCTGCCGGTGAAAGATATTTGGGTATGGCAAGCCTAGTGGTTTATTTAGCCAAGGGAGAAGATGGCCGTGGATTGGGGCAGCAGGCTGCGTGGGCGGCTGCAAGCTACTGCGAGGGACGGCAAAAAAATCTAGGGGGCAATATCTATGGGGATAATATAACCACTGCCTATGGGGGATAATATAACTTATAACTAATTAGGTAGGCAGTGGTGATATCAAAATTCATTAAAACACGGTAAAGAGGATAACTCTACATGTTCCTCTTCTACGGAGCGGACGGATTCTTTTCAGGCCCCGTAGTCGCTAATCTTTAATATAAGTAGCTACCTAATTCTTTTACTTTCATCCCGCAGCTAATGGCCACAATGGTGACGTACCTCGTTGTGTTACTTCAATTCCAAATCAGCATACCGTCTGATAGCCAAGTGGAGGAGGACCAAATCGTCAACAATGTCACAATGGACTTCACGGATCCGATAACCACCACCACGACCGCCATTACAACTGCACTGACCACTATTGCAAAGAAGAAAAGGAAACATTAACTATAGATCAAATTTTTAGGCCTTTAGTAACTTTGCTATGATACGGTCAGTTAAATAATGTGATTAATGTTTAGGTAGGCAGTGGTGATATCAAAATTCATTAAAACACGGTAAAGAGGATAACTCTACATATTCCTCTTCTACGGAGCGGACGGATCCTTTTCAGGCCCCGTAGTCGCTAATCTTTAATATAAGTAGCTACCTAATTCTTTTACTTTCATCCCGCAGCTAATGGCCACAATGGTGACGTACCTCGTTGTGTTACTTCAATTCCAAATCAGCATACCGTCTGATAGCCAAGCGGAGGAGGACCAAATCGTCAACAATGTTACAATGGACTTCACGGATCCGATAACCACCACCACGACCGCCATTACAACTGTACTGACCACTATTGCAAAGAAGAAAAGGAAACATTAACTATAGATCAAATTTTTAGGCCTTTAGTAACTTTGCTATGATACGGTCAGTTAAATAATGTGATTAATGGAAGAACTACACTTATCTGTCGTGTTGTGTTGTGACGCATTAGAGAGCTACTGTTACATACATTTAGTATATTTACAGTGAGAACGCTGCCGACACATTGCGACAGATCGGGATTCACAAGTATAGTTCTGACCGTACTAAATGTATGAAACCGATTGCGCCAGGGGGCTATTCGCCTAACGGAAATGTTTTTGGTAAACGCTAACGCTTACGATTTCTTTTTGTTATTTATGGCCGCCTGAGGTTTCAAATGCCTCGAGCTCTTTTTTTTCTTTTGCATTGGTAATAACAATATTAAAGAAAATGGTCGTGAGGTATTTGAAAACCTTCGGCGGTCAGAAACAACAAAATGAAATCGAAAGCGTTAGCGTTTTCCATAGCATTTCCCTTAGGTGAATGACCCCCAGATCGTGTCATAACACAACACGAAAGATAAGTATAGTTTTGCCTTAAGACCGGCGAAATACGCGGTGCGCCATGTAAAGTTACGTGGTCGCTCATTACAAAACGTTATCAGTGAAACCATATTGGTTCAAATATTTTTAGCCCAAACATTAACATATCTTTTGATTTGATTTATAGTGTGAAATACGCCAACATTCCCTTCAGAGGTATCTTTAGGGCTTTTAACGAAAATTGCTTAAAAATATATTTTTGAGCGTCAAAGTTTTATTTATAAAGAAATCTTATCTTATAAATATAAAGTCAAAGATTTATTTATAAATATAAAGAAATCTTTGATGCTCAAAAATATTTTAATATTGTGGCATAATTTATTAACTTTGGGGAAAAGTAGGTTATATTTCTGTGGTTATATATGCGTTACAAAGTATTGTATGTTTTGCTTACTTCTTATAATAATGAGTGGGAGCTCATTAAATGAGGTGAATTCTCGACCCGATCCCGGAAATGAGGATTCTAGAGCCATATTAACATGCCACTTCACTGAAGACATGGGCAGCTTAAAATGGAAAATTCCCTGTAGAGGATGGTGCTGCAACAGAACTCTTGAAGGCTGGAGGTAAACCCGTACTGAGGGAGCTCCAAAGGCTTTTTAACACTGTCCTGTTCGAAGGGAGAACTCCAGAGGCGTGGGAGAGTAGGAGTGTGGTTGTGTTGTTCTTTAAAAAGGAAACAAGATAATACTTAAGAACTATCGACCCATATCTAGGGTTGCAACGATATATCGGAATATCGATAATATCGAGACCAAAATATCGATATTTATATCGATATTTAAAATTCACTGACATCGATAATATCGATATCGGAATTTCCAAAATATCGATATTTCGTAGTCTAAATTTGAACACAATAATATCAATTAATTTACCTGCTATGACTATCTAAATTGAATAATATCGAAATAACTATTGCTTTGAAATCGCAAGAGCTTATAGATGTATTAAAAAAATCTTGAACCCCAAGAATTATACTAAACTGGTGTGGATTCTGGCGTGATTCTCTAAACCTAAAATTAAATTTGACAACAGTGTATCCTTGTCATTCTCTTTACAGAATGAAAAGGAGAGACTGATGTTAAATTTAGTTTTAAGTTTAGATAATCATGCCAGAATCGACACCAAAGTATATAGGTATAATCGTATACCTAATGGTAACTCATGCACTTAAATAAAATCCTTGCCTCTCTTTCTAGATAATTGTCAACTACTGATTAATTGAAATTTAATATCATTGTAATATAACACAAAATAAAATTAAGAATCTTATACAAATCGTAAATTTTTTAAGCTCGCCAATTCAAGAAATTAAGATAGGTATAGTAATTTTGGAAGCTTTAGGCTTACCCTATTCTGAAGCCATGGGCACGCCCCTGATGTGTAGGTTTTACTAATACATAACAATTGTTTTTCATATGATTATCTATTCTGATTTTGGCTGCGTGCAAACATTTTAAACAAAATAAATATCTTTGATTCGAAATTGCTTTTGATTTGATACTTCTTACAGCGCTATAAAAATATAGAAAATATCGTGTTGGAAATGTTGGAATGGCTAGTATATCGGATCGGATATCGATATTTACCTGCCCACATTATAAATACCGATATTTCGGAAACCATTGCTTCCTTAATTATAGGTTTTTGCTTTGCAAACTTAATACAAAGCAAAAAAAAAAAGAAAAAATATCGATATATCGATAATATCGAGTTAAAATGGTCGATATATCGGATATCGATATTTTCCTGACTTCGATATAAATATCGATATTTTAAAAGACTTTGCATCCCTACCCATATCCCTTCTAAGCCACGTCTATAAGCTGTTCTCAAGAGTGATCGCGTACCGCCTTGCGCGAAGACTTGATGACTTCCAACCACCGGAACAGGCTGGGTTTCGGAGCGGTACGGCACCATAGACCACATCCGGCGTGCGGCAAATTATACAGAAGACTGAAGAGTACAATCAGCGCCGGTGCCTAGCATTTGTGGACAATGAGAAGGCCTTTGACTCGATTGAAATCTGGTTTGTCCTGGAGTCCCTGCAGCGTTGCCAAGTCGACTGGCGATGCATCCAAGCGATTAGATGTCTCTACGAAGCCGCCACCATGTCGGTCCAAGTACAGAATCAACAAACAAGTCCCATACCGTTGCATCGTGGAGTGAGACAAGGGGACGTTATTTCCCCGAAATTGTTCACTAATGCAATGGAGGATATGATCAACACGCTGAACTGGAAAGGACGTGGCATTAACATAAATGGCGAAAGCATCTCTGATTTGTGATTTGCAGACGACATCGTCATCATGTCAGAAACCCTGCAGGACCTACAACAGATGCTGAATGACCTGGCTGATTCTTCTATACGCATCGGCCTACGGATGTACTTGGATAAAACCTACCGGATCTACCGGTGTTCTACCGGAACCGATTGCAATACACGGTGCCGTTCTCGAAGTTGTCGAAAAATATGTGTACCTCGGGCAGACTTAGAGGTAGAAACAACTTTGAGGACGAGGTGAATAGAAGAATTCAGCTGGGCTGGGCAACGTTTGGGCAGTTACGTCGGGTCTTGACATCATCGATCCCACAGTGCCTAAAGACGAAAGTCTTCAATCAGTGCATCCTACCTGTGATGACATACGGAGCCGAAACGTCAACACTGACGGTACGGCTGGTCCACAAGTTTAAAGTCGCTCAGCGCGCTATGGAAAAGGCTATGCTCGGCGTTTCTCTGAAGGATCGCATCAGAAATGAGGTGATCCGTCAGAGAACCAGAGTTATCGACATAGCCCATCGAATTAGCAAGTTGAAGTGGCAGTGGGCTGGCCATATTTGCCGCAGAATCGATAACCGTTAGGGTAGACGAGTTCTGGAGTGGAGACCGCGTCTAGGCAAACGTATTGTAGGACGTCCTGAGGCACGGTGAAGTGACGATTTGCGCAAGGTGACTGGCAGGAGCTGGATGCGAGTAGCCCAAGATCGACCTCAGTGGCATGCAATTGGAGAGGCCTATGTCCAGCAGTGGACTAATATAGGCTATTGATGATGATGTTGATGAAAAAAACGGTCAATGTGGGCGTGTTTTATGTTACCTAATTACCTAGATTGACATGTAGGATATTTTATATGCGGGGAAAAAATTAGGTTCCTCTGGCTCTGGGATTCTCAAAATTGTTCCACCTATAATAGCGCAGATAAAGTCGCGGGCGAAAACTATTCTATTAAAATATATAAAACCTGGAGTTGGAAAGTGGAGTGCAACTAATTTTATTAATACTGATTTACTTCAGAAAATTAAATATATTCATGATATCCCCATGTTTTATTTAGAAATTATGCATAGTATTTCGTTAATACATAGACATTATATAGCGTATTATATGCATCAGCAACTAACGACCGCTGGAAAAAAATGGTTGCCTGTAAAGTCGGTTTTACGGGCGAAGATTTTACGTGACAACATCTTTTTCTCGGTAGAATATTTATTGATATGAATATAATTAAATTGCACAATAGGAACAAGGAATTGAATGAAAATAAGAATTGCACAAATTTTAACTATAGAAATATATTTTGTTTACTAAAACATTGTACATGTAAACTTAAACTTAACACGAGAGACTCATCGTAACGTTACCGAGCGTTACACTTTTTCATAAGTGACTCCCAGCCGCAACCTAATTTAAGACGTTGTCACGTCAAAATACCTACCTACATTAATTCGTTCAACTTTTTTAATATTAAATAGGCAAACTTTGGTACCATTTTAACTATTCCCCAATATTTGCTGCTTAGGTTTTCGATGACTAAGACTACGTCCGCAGATAGCAATATTACTCATCACCAAGTTAATGTCCGTCCTCTCCGGTTCTCTGTGGAGCACAGACGTGTTGATCTAAAACCTATGTCGCCGTGTGTGTAATTTCATTCATTTTTCGTCACATCACTATGACCTTCTTCCTATTCTACCTATTATTTTTTGACTATATAATGAATACTTTCGAAGAAGTCGAAGAAGAAGAAGAAATGAAATGAAGTAATGAATGGCCGAAATAGAGAAATATGCGGCCGTATAACTTAAAAAAAAACGTATTATTTTTGTCATTCATTCGTCATTCAGCGCCTCTTTTATTGAATCTTAAACTAGAGTACTAACTTTTAAGAAATTGGAAAATACTTTGATTGTTATATACAACACTACAAGTGGCTGATCGGTTCTTGGATGAGAAAACAAGATAATTCTTCATTCTTGTGGGATCTCCGCCTTGCGGTATGATCCATAATAATAACAGTCGCGCGTGAACTAGTTTTATGTAATGCACATGGTCGAGTGGCCAAATACTTTGGCGAAAGGGGTTCACCCGCCTATGCCATCTCAATTGGTATATGCTCTAAGGGGATCGGCGACCAAACCATTCACGAGCGAACTTGTCGCATACGACCGAAGTACGTGCAACCGTTGTAACGTGTAAGGGCCATAAAACAGAAAAGATGATAGAAAGAATTTAGTGGAGTCCATTCTCGCTAGCCATTCAATGGACTGAGTGTTCCATATCCAACTGTAAAGAAAACCAAGTCAGATAAGTAAAAGAGAGACGAAGTAATCGTGTGACATTCAGTCGTCTTTTGGCTGTTTAGATTTTATATCCTTTGTTTTCAAGTGATGAGAAATTTCAACAAAAAATGTGTTTTTTTTTATCTGTCACTTTAATAATCCGCTGTCAATTTTGTAACGATACGAAAGAAATTTCCGGATTTCCCGAGATAAAATTCTGTGTTTATTTGATTTTGTGCTAAAACCACAAAGTTGTGAGCCCGCTATTGTATTTTTGTGCATTTAACTAACAAAAATGGTGGACTACAGCAAATGGAAAGATATCGAGGTAAGCATAACATCATGTGTTTTAAACTTATTAATTAGAAACTTAGATTAAATCAAAGGTATAACAATACTGTTTTGTCTGTCTGTAGATTTCTGATGACGAAGATGAGACTCATCCAAACATTGATACACCGTCGCTGTTCCGATGGAGGCACCAAGCTCGCATAGACAGAATGGAAGAACGCAAACGGGAAAGGGAAGAGCACGAACAGAAAAAGGCTGAAAACTTGAGACGTTTAGCGGAGACCAAGAAGAAAATCACAGAATCCGAACCTAACGGACCTAATTTAGACACACTAAAGAAGGAACTCGAAAAACTGGAAAAAGAGGAAAAACAATTACTTAAGCGTGAAGAGGATTTGAAAAAGAAGGAAAAGTTGACACCTTGGAATGTGGACACAATCAGCGAGCCAGGTTTCAATAAAACTGTGATTAATGCAAAACCGCAGAGATCAAACAATGATAACTTGACAGAGGAAGAAAAAGAAGAGAAAATGAAGCAGTTTATTAATGAGAACACTAAACTGCTGAAGGAGTTTGGCATGTTGAGGAAGTATGATGACTCAAAGAAGTTTCTGATGGACCACAGCCACTTGGCATGCGAGGAAACTGCTAACTATTTGGTGATCTGGTGCATCAACTTAGAAATGGAAGGGGTAAGACGTTATTACAAAAGTGTTTACTTGTCTTTTTAAGGTTGCAGCTTTTTACATAAGGTTTGTAAAAAGCTGGAACCTTAAAAAGACACTTCTGTACTCCTATATATATAGAGTATACATAGTATATACTGTATATTATAATATATATTTACAAGCAGTAAACAAGTAAAAAATAATACCAAATTAGACATACTAAAATAAGCATGAGGAGTTGATGTCTTTCAATTTCATATAAACTTTGGAAAATATGTTAATTTATTCCTTACTTACTAGCTATGCCCCGCGGTGTTACCTGCAGTTCATTAGGGATATTTTCCTGCAGTAAAATGTAGCCTATGTGTTAATCCAGGGTGTCAGCTAAATCCATACCAAATTTAATTAAAATCGCTCTAGCTGTTTAAACGTGAAGAAGTAACAAACGTAGTTACTCACAAACTTTCGCCTTTATAATATTAGTGTGATTTTACATTACAGAAACATGACCTTATGGCCCATGTCGCCCACCAGACTATCTGCATGCAATATATTTTGGAGCTCTCCAAGCAGTTAGATGTGGATCCAAGAGCTTGTATAGGCTCCTTCTTCTCCAGGTAAAGATATTTTGTTATGTTATTGTGTTATATTATTTTGCATGTCTTATGCAGGATATAACAGAATTACACAGGCAACGTTTAATCTGTCATACTATACTATAATACCAAGGCAATGTATAGAATGCCAAAAGCATCAAGGCAATTTATGAAATATTATTCATTTTATAATTTGCCTAGGTGTTCCTTACAACAATGAATGCAAATATTTGGCTGAATATGAACATCAGAAAATATATCCAATGTACCGAATATGAATATTGGGCTGGACATTTGGCGCATCTCTAATAATTATTTATCTATTATTATCTTATCAGGTTGCTGGCTAAGTTTAGGTTACATCACTTACTCAACCTAACTCACCAATCTTTCTTTGGTCTGTAATTTATTCGGTAAGAATTATAAAATCCATCTGTTCTTTTATATACAACTAGGTAGGTTAAGTTTGATTAGTGACAGTTTTACGTTGATAAGAGTTGAATATCTTACATATTGACAGAGGAACTTAATGGTGTAGTGGTTAGTACTTTAGGTCTATTATTGAGCGGTGTTAAGCAGAAAGGGACCAGCAGGCTTGTTTTAATTTAGCAAAAATGACTTTTATGGACCAATGTTAAAGTATGATTGCAAAAGCAGAAAACGACAATTAGTCATTTGCGGGATCTAAATGAATCAAATTTTCTCTTGCTTATAAAATTATCGCTAGTTGCTATCTGCTTAACAGTATGCTCAATTGTGGAACTTTAGCAGTGTCCATTCATAGGATGTGTGAAAATCTATTTAGTCTCTGAGCACATAATACATATTGGTTGCTAAAGCATCTGCAATCCTTGGCACAGGAGAATCTACACTGGGTCCGTTCAAATGGTACATCATGGGCTTTTCTCCTGATTCTGTTAATAATAATGGCATGTGCTTCAGTAGTGACATTAATAAATTATTATTATTATTAATAAGCTAATGATGAAACAGTGATATATTTGTAAACTACATATTTTACAAAATTATTAATCGTATATTATTATGTAACTTATTTTATTCAGAGCAAGTGCTATCCTGTTTCCTTAGCCAATAATTAACAATTCATGTATCATCTCAACAAAAGTAACTTACTATTTATATGCAAAGCTTTCACATTAGAAAGAAAATATTCCCTGATTTAATTTCAGGATCCAAGTTGCAGAGAAAACCTACAAAGACTCATTTGATGATGAACTTGAACAGTTCAAAGCTAGAATTAAGAGGCGTGCTGCAGAGAAAATTCAAGAAGCCCTACGAGAGCAGGAGGAAGAAGAGAGGAAGGCCAGACTCGGCCCTGGGGGCCTAGATCCTGTTGAGGTTTATGAAGAGCTTCCTGATGTGAGTATATCTTGGAATTATAAATTTGTAGTAAAAAGCAAGCAAATTGAGCATTTACTTTTAAAAAGCCTTTATTGCCTCTGTGTTCTGAATTTTTATTTGTACAAAATGCCTTCTGGCATAGGCCTCTGCAAGCATACTAATATGAATATGTATATAAAAGCAATGGTGCAATAGGGGTGATGACGGGGTACAGTAAACGAAATTCTATTTAGTCCGTCAGTTAGATGATCAAAAAATAATGGACACCTATTTTTTCTTTGGGCAATCAACCAAAAAATGGCAAAGTTATAGCGCGTCAAAGTTTGGGAGTAGGGGCTCGTGACGTCACTTTTTAGTGAATTTTCACTTAAAAGTTTACTCAAACGTGACGTCATGCGACTTTTCAAATCAATATATCTATGCAATGTTTATATTATGTGAAAAAAGAAAAAATACGTGTCCAATACTTTTTGATAATGTACCTGATAAACAAAGTAAAAAAAAATAGTCATCATCCCTATTCTAGCTGACATTTTGCCTTGTATTATCTTCGCATCTGGACTTTACCGTCACTTAACATCAGGTTTAGTAAGAGTTATTTGCCTAACTAGTTATAAAAGATTAATTAATAAAATAATATAAATTAAATAAAATTAAGGGCTTACACAAAAGTGCAGTTCTAAAAAAATCCAAGCTCTACTAACGAAATATTACTCAGATTTTTAGTATTATTAAGTGAAAAATATTGTTGAGGTGTCATCGAAATCGATGGCTAAATGAGTGATAAAACCCAAGACAGTAATAAAACCATAGAAAAAGTCCCCAAACCTGACAGAAATGAAATTGAACTTAAGATTTTTAGTATTTAATAATACTAAAAATCTTAATAATAATCCTAATAAAAAAAATATTGTAGTATTCTGCAAAAACTAACTTTAAAGAGGACCAAGTCGCAGGCGGCCTCTGGTAAATAATAACTACCTAAAACGTATTCACAGGATCTCAAGAAATGCTTCGACTCCCAAGATGTCCCTTTGCTACAAGCCACAATTGCCAAAATGCCAGAGCAAGAAGCAATATATTATATGAAGAGATGTGTAGACTCCGGCCTATGGGTACCTGGCAAGAACGATGAAGAACCCACTATGAAAGAAGCAGACTCAACAACAAAATCCAGTGCTAACTCCTCTTCAAAAGACACTACTGATGACGTAGACTGATTATATTTACACAAAAAATCTAGCGCTAATCATAAAATACCTAGATAAACTAATACGTTGAACCATGAACAACTGCCTTTTTTCTCCAGATTTGATAAGGAATATGAAATTATTTTTTGTAATACTAACAGAAGTAGCATTATTTATCATAGTTTCTATGGTTGAACCTTTGTGCTATCAAGCCAAGTTAGATGTTACTTCTGATGCACATAAATGTACAATATCCATTTGAGAAGTATTATTGTAGCAATGCTAGTGTTCAGTTAATGAAATATTATGATTAGTTACAATCGTGGTGTACCTACATAGACCTTTTCAATTTTGTACGTACAAAGATTAATTGTAAACAAGAACTCGCTGGTCCTGTGAAATTATAAAATACATGTTGCTAAACAAAAATATTGTTTTGCTTATATGACAGTTCTAAATTACATCCTACTTACATAAAAATCCTACAAGATTTACTAATAGTCTTCAAAAATAGAACGAAGAAGTTGACAAGAGGAATAGAAATCTGCCATTTTATTTTAAAATGTTGATCTGATCCCCATGTTCATGAAGTGTTACGGCCACAGTGGCTGCTCAACCGGCCTAGTCGCTAACATTTTGACATTTACAGTGTGAACTGAAGAGAAAATTGCATATTCGTTAATGCTTTTCAGAACAACTATCTTAGTGGCGTTACAATAAAGCAGTAACGAATCAAATAGCTCGGTGATTATCACTTTTATCTGTCAAAAGCAGTTAATGAATAGGCGTACTGGGGATCATCATATACTAACGGGATTGCTATCGCTTACGATTTCATTTTGTTATCTCTGAGCCCGAAGGTTTTCCAATACCTTACGCTCATTTTCTTTAATATTGTTATTACCATTGCAAAAGAAAAAAAACGAGCGCAAGGCATCTCAAAACTTTCAGCGGTCAGAAATTCAATTCAATCTTTTGCACTGATGTGGTTACATAGATGGTTACAAGTTACAAAATGCATAAAGTACTTTTAACATGAACCCTGTCAGGGTATCGTAATATAGATAAAAATTACAAAAGAGAATTGAATAAATACACAATTATCTATATGAAGAACCTAATTTGTATTAAACAACTTTATTACTCTAAGCATGCATAAATGTCATCCGATTCCATTAATTTTATAACTTACTCAAATGATCTTATTTACAGTAGTAGTTTAATTTTGTAATTATTGTATTTTGTAATTTTGAAATTCGATTATAAAATTAAAGGAGATTGGTCAAATTGGCCTAAATGCAAATAAAATATTGACATATACAGTAATTCTTGGCGTAATTTATACTTTATTTTACAGTCATTAGATTTTAACGGCCACCTTTAAATAATATATTAATTTTAAAAAAGGACTTCTATTTTTACCGGTTTGGAAAACATACGAATCATTTTTATTGGCTATGGGTGTAGTAACATTCACAAAGACTGATCGAGGTTGTTTATATAACATCAAAACAAATCTATTTTGTAAAGATTGATAAAATATGTATTTTTTTTTATTACACGGGTGGTATTAATCCACAACTTTATTATCATTTTTACTACATGCAAATGTGCTAAGACAATTAATATAGATGGTAGGCGACATCATAAAGTCTATTGCCGTACATTTTTTGCCAAACACCTAAATAAACACATTATAAGGTGTGATACACTAAAAATCTAAAATATGGTTATAATAAAAACATAACAAAAATAATGAAGCTGCTAAAGATATGGCTGTATAACCTACAGCTCTTAGCTTTCTTTGATTAACGAGAGTTTAAAAATTCTCTCTAATCTTTGGCTCATTCACAATCATCACACAGTTTCTGTTCGTGTTTTTAAAAACATGCACATATCTGTTATTCTCTATATACCTGAATCTAATACATAATATCGGTACTTGGCTTGATTGCCCTATTTTCCTATATAAGTTATTTGGTTTTTATTATTCTAATGCCTATGTGCCTATTTGCAAACATAACCTCAAAATCATTCCGTGTATATGGTTTATAGAAGTTCTCAGGAGTGGCCGTCGATAATATTCGTTTCTACGGTAATTTATATATAATTTCGAATGTAGGAAACAATTTTTCATGGTTATTGGTTTTTAGGCCAAACATGTATGGAAGCTGAGCAATCTCCTTTGTCAATAAACATGATTATAATAATCAAGGTTTTTATTTGAAGATCGGCTCATTAATATTATTTTGTTGCAAAGTATTCTAAATAAAAAAAAATCGTAAGCGATAGCCTTAGCAATCTCGTTAGGCGTTTGGCCCCCTGGTCGAGGATGGTGTGGGGCGGTCAGCGTGCTCATGATGAATGATGTTTTTCTATGTTAAAAGGGTGACAAGTAAGCATATTTAGCAGCCTATAGACGCTTGCGATACAAACAATATCACTCGCGCCATCGCCTACCCTAACCCAATCCCCTACCCCATGTAGCCCTGGAACCTTACTTGCCGACAGAAACACAACACCGTCAAAAGGTAGTCTTATTTTACTGTGGTGTAGGAGAACACGATGCGTGGCAGCGCTGATACGATGATGATGACTGGCAAATGATTATTCGTATTTGCTTTTTGTGAATTTGAAAGCATATAATTATCCCGTGCTCTGTGTAAATAGTAGATTTCTGCCGTCGTCAAAAAACCCCTATCTGTGGAAGTGGCGGATTTCTGCCATGCAATATTATAATAATATTTAGATAAATAGATGCAGAAAATATTCAAGATTGAAGACTAAAATAAAGAATAAGTTCAGTAGAACTCGAAATATAACAGAGGGTTTTGACGGCCATTTGGCTTACACAAACCACGGAATCTAAGGATGAATCTAAAACTTTTCAAAACGCAGGATACACCTAGCCCCGTATAAATAGAAAGGATGATCCTGCTGTCAAATTCATATTTAGCAACAAACAACCATGTAAATTGTTAACTTCACATGAATAAATTATACGACCCTGCATAATATCACAAAATTAACACTTAGATTCAACTAAGAATAGGACCGACTGGGCGCCATATTGTGACGTATTACCTGTCAATTCAAACCAGTTATGTAGAGTGAGCAAAAAAATTTTTCTTTAATTAAACTTTTTACCAAGATTAAGTGAGAAAACATATTAGATTTTCAATAATAAAAATATTTTTTTAATGTTTTTTCCCACTCAGTCTTAATAACTAACTAAATATTATTAGATTAGACTGAGTGACAGAGAAAAAACATTATTCAAAATCTAGCTCTTAAATTCCGCTCATCTCTGCACTACCGTCGGAGTAGTCATCATCATCAACTGCTGCTTTTGGTTATAAATTAAAATATCGATTATTGTAGGTTTCAAAACGACAACTTTATTTAAAATAAAAACGGTTCTTCCCTTTTCCAGTACTCATTTTCTATACGTTATATGTGATTTATTTCCTTCTTTTGTTGACAAATGTTTGGTATTTATTCTAAGATTAGCTCAGTGCTAAAAAAAAGTATTCCAAGATTTTTTTGCAAACCGTTCTTTTCAAGATGACATTTGACAGATGGAGGTCATTGGCTTTCCTATTCTTATTTGAATCGCACTATACGGAAGGTAATCAATCTTAAGTATGGAATTATCTTTGAATACCTACGGTCACGCTAGAATTGTCAACATTGGCTTTTGGCGCAGTTATTGGCACTTGGACGTTAGCCAGAATTCGAGTGCCAATGGAGTTGGGGTAAACGACTAAGTATCAATGAACGGAGTCGAGTACCCCCGTAATCAGGTAGTTTTCGTTTTGGTTACCCGACACCGTTTTCCAGTCCGTATGCCGGCGTAAATATTGTTTCGGGTAACCGAATACGACTAATGTATTTCGAGCACTCGAATATGGGCTAAGGACCAAAGCTAATTTGGCTGCCTAGTCCATGTGGTCTTTTTTTTCCAAAAATTTTCTTTTAGATTTAAACAGGTACCCGGTTGATATTGCTCAAATAGTTTGCTCGTAGTGGTCTCAACTGGGGGCCATTCGCCTAACGGAAATGCTTTCGAAAACGCTAACGCTTACGATTTCATTTTGTTATTTCTAGCCGCCTGAGGTTTTCAAATGCCTAGCGCTATTTTTTAGCGTTTTCCAATTCGCCTAACGTAAATGCTTTGGAAAACCCTAACGTTTACGATTTTATTTTGTTATTTCTAGCCGCCTGAGGTATTCAAATGCCTCGCGCTCTTTCTTTTTCTTTTGCATTGGTAATAACAAATTAAAAAAAATAAGCGTGAGGTATTCGAAAACCTCAGGCGGCTAGAAATAACAATATAAAATCGTAAGCGTTAGCGTTTCCCAAAGCATTTCCGTTAGGCGATTGGCCCCCTGGTCATAGATATCGTGTCCGTGAGCCGTGAGTCTGCATTGCTCAAGCACACTTTGTATGAAGATTACTTTCTGCACCGTCTATTTTGTGATGATACTTTGAGGAGCTCGATGGCGCGGGTGGTTAGCGCGTTCGGCTGCGATCGTAAAGTTAAAAAAAAATCGCAGCGGTCTGTCATTGGATGAGTGACCAAAAATCTTCTATCTCGAGTTCCTCCGTGCTTCGGAAGGCACGTTAAGCCATTGGTCCCGGCTGCATCTGTAATCGTTAGCACCCCAATCCGCACTGGGCCCGCGTGGTGGGTCATGGCCGAATCTCCCTATTCCATCCATAGGGAAGCCTGTGCCCCCGCCATGGGTACATTAATAGGCTGATGATGATGATGACTTTGAGATTGGTAATAGGGTATTTGCCAATTTTTTGAAAACTGCTTATATTTAAAGATTGGGGCAAACGATTTAACAGAAATATTAAAAAAAAAGTAATTAATGTCTTTTTTTCTCCATTAAACCAATTAAAGTTGTTTTTTTTAAGGTTTTTAATTTACCGCCAAAACGCTCGGTTCGATGACGTCGACTGTGTGACGTCAAGTCTGTGTATGCTATGTAATCATCTGAAGGTCTAATTATTAACTTTTTTATGGTCGAGATAAACTTATAGTATAATATTTTCACAAAATTTTTGAAAAGAAATCGTCAAATAATTACTCCGTAATCACAGATCGTCCACAGACAACATAGGTGTTAAAATTCTTTACACAAAGTTGACGTCACACACAAAAATAAATTCAACTTTAATTGGTGTAATGGAGAAAAAAGACATTAATTAATTTGTTTTTATTGTTTTGTTAAATCGTTTATCCCAATCTTTAAATATAAGCAGTTTTCAAAAATTTGGAAAATACCCTAGTGGGTAGGTTTCAATAAAATATCTCATGTTAATTTTTTTAACTTGTACTTTTTATATAACAAAACTACGTTAGGTGTGAGCGCTACGTGACCACGTGCGACGGCAGCTGCGGCCGCCCCTCCAGTTTACTGTAGTCCAGGTGGAATTCTTTCGCCACCTGTAGGAACAAAAATGATGAAAATTTCAAAAAAATGTTATAAGAAATTTCAAAAATAATAATGGTAGTTTACGGTAGTTAGGGTCAAATAAATAAACTCAAAATTACAAAAAAGATTTTTAAAAGACAATAAAGTTTTAAAATCTTCAATAAAAGTCTTTTGAAGATAGCTCGACAAAGTAAATAAAAAATCATTATTCTGGCGACGCAGACCTGAAAAGGCTGCGAAACGTCAATAAATAAATAAATTCAGTACATGTAACCCGTAAAAACTATTTTTATTTAATGAGTATTGTGCGCGAAAACCTAAGAAACAAATATTAAAAAAATGTTGATAAATGTAGGTTCTTCATCACCAGCCTATTAATGTCCCCACTACTGGGACACGCCTCTACGGATAAAATAGGGGGATTGGACCATGACCCACCACGCGGGCCCAGTGCGGATTGGTGGGTAGGAATTAAAAAAAAAATATGATAAATATAAGTTCATCACCATCCTATTAATGTCCTCACTACTGAGACACACGCCTCCCTACGGATAAATCCCCCTAGGATTGGGCCATGACCCACCACGCGGACACAGAGCGTATTGATGAGTGGGAAATAAAAAAAAGATAAATTTAAGTTCATCACCAGCCTATTAATGTCCCTACTACTGGGGTACTCGCCTCCCTACGAATAAAATAGTGGGATTGGGCCATGACCCACCACGCGGGCCCAGTGCGGATTGGTGGATGGGAAATTTAAAAACAAATCATAAATGTAGGTTCATCGTCACCAGCCTATTAATATCGTACGGATTGGTGGGTCCTAACGACTGCAGATGCAGGCGGGACCAATGGCTTAAATTGCCTTACGAAGCACGGAGGAGTCCAAGACAGTAAATTTTAGTACCACGAGAGATGACCACCACAAAATAAACATTATAATCAAGTTTTTTATCCCATGTTACTATCAAACAAAGTAATTTGACAACTTAGCGTGATAAAAATGAAAAGTGTACATTATCTAAATAATGATGCTGATGATAAAAGAAATATACTGGGGTCTTTTAAGAGAGGCGTGAAGAAGCATTTTTGCAGGCCGGCAAGGTGAGTATGGTTGGTGTGGCAGTTTATAACTGCTGTACCAGCTATCTTCGCGTTTGGACTTTACCATCACTAAACATCAGGTGGGGTAGGGGTGGGTGGGGTAGCCTACCTGGCTATAATATAAAAAATAAAAAAAAATACGCATCTTAGGAAACGTAGGTGTCTTCTCCATCACAAAAGAAACATTTTTAGATGTTTCTTACAAATATCATCCTTTTAATACCAGCTCAAGACCAAGATCTTTGGGGAGGCATATAATCATCAGTAGGTGAAATATGGCTGTAATCATCAGTAGGTGACATAAATAATGTTGATGGTGATAAACTGCATGATCCCCCTCTCAGGGTATCCCCTCGCTTCAGATGAAGCTTGTAAGGCCCTTCAGGCCATAAGCATGAACTACGGGTGTGTTTTAGTCAGTAAGTCTGCCATAACCTTGCAACCGGCTGTAGGGTATCCATGAGGATTTCATATCCTCATGGATACCCTACATATTCAGTAGTCGCGTATGATGTGTAACATTTGAAACCTCACCTCCCATTATTAAAAAAAAACCTACTACAAAAAGAATAAGCCAATTTAACATTATGTTCTAAAATCAAATCAAATAGCGCGCGCTTTCGCAACTTCCTGTTACACGCTTCCGTCCCATTTCACGAAATCACTCCCACAAATAGGGTATTTGACAAGTTTTAGAAAACGATCTCACGTTATTCACTAATGTTTATAGAGTCCATAAAAGTAGATATACTTTATACTTAAGATAGATAATCATTATATTGTGTATTTCGGTGAAAAAACTAATTCAAAAACTCTATCTTCAAGTTGCCGCGGAAAACGTATCTCTGGACAATATGGCGGCTCACTGGTGTGTGACGTCACACGACTGTCATTAAAACGTCAAACCATACAATCAAATGTCACTTTAACCGGAAGTTTACTTGTGTGTGACGTCATTTTAGGCTCCACCAATCCAAAGCGTTTTGGGTCAGGTGACAATAGACATATAAAGACAATATAAAGATAATAAAAAACTATTATCTTTATCGTGGGTTTTTAGTAAAATTATGTTTCTGTAAAAATAGTAAAAACTCCTGTCAATATTCATTCTAAATACAGATGCTAACAATTGGCACTTTATTTTTAATACTGTCAAATACCCTATTGCAGGAAAGCGAGAGGAAAGATGTTACACATCAAAAATGGTGATAAAAGACACACAAAGTACTAACCTTGCGCCAATTGTGCGCGTCAAAGAAATAGTAGGTGCCTCGTTCGTACGTGGAAGTCTTCTCCACCATGGGCATGCCGGGGGCCTGAGAGATCCACACCTTCTCCTCCATGTGATACCGCCATTCGCGGTTATACCTGAACGCAATTATTCCTTAGCCAGTGCGAAATAAAAAAATGTGTGCGTGTACTTTTGTACGCGCGTGAGAAGTTATACTTCTTTGGCATCATTAAAAAATAGTTTTTAATTGCATGCAAATAATTAATTACAATGAAATAATAAAAGGACTGGAAAACGATAGTCAACACAGTCAATTAAGTTCAGTTTAAATTTGAAAAATTTAATAAATAATCAAAATGTTTAATTTAAATCACTACTGAATATAATTTATTAGCACATATATAATTCGCACTTGTATGAAACTAAAATACGTGTTATGAATATAGAAACTAGAAACAGGTGGATATATTTATAAATATGACAACAGTGATTAGAAGCGACAAGCGTACCAACTTGCGCGACTAATAGAGATTCAATTTTATTTTGTTGGTAGCTTTTTTCGAGACAATGTGCGGTTTAGCGGCCAACTTAATGGTGTTACTTTTATGTTACAGTGATGCGCGGGCATCTTAAAATTTCACTCATCATTTTTTCATAACGCGCCTAAAGAAGTATAACTTAAAAAACATAAAATCCCTTATATTTTTTAATAATTTAAGTGCCAGATGTTTAAATCTAAAGAAAGGTTTACTAGAAAAAATCAATTAAGAAGTACTAGAGAAAGTTCAACTTATCCATCAGAGCCGCGGGATCATTAGCATAAGGGATAGTGCATTCGCCCGGATAGCAATTAGTAAACATTTCTTTATATAAAATCCTTTTCTGAGGTTAGAAGAGTGAAAATCTAAAAAAAATTTATAAGAAAATATTCCACTTGGTCTAGGCAACCTGCATCATTCGCTATCTCGACGGACGTACTATAACAAATAGCGGAATATTCTAATAAAATTTATTAATTTATTATCTATAGTAGTTAAATGTTTAAAATAAAAATATAATATAAATTTAGAAATTTATTTTCTCACTTTGTTAGCATGATTGATCTATATGTCCATGCCAAATTATAGCATTCGAGTACTCATATAATAATCTCTTGAGTTAGACTAATATGGTAAAACTAAGAGAATTCCTTTTTGATTATAATCTCAAATACAGTAGTAGAACTCCGATTATCCGAATCGCCAATTGGACGTTGTTAAATGAAAAGGATCCAACTCACAACCGTATCGAAAATTAGTTTAGTATACCAAAGTACTCCCTAATCCTTAGGTGAATACTATTAAAACACGACAAACATCCAAGTTAAGTGTCATATGATTTCGAATTTGTATTTTGTCATAAGATATAGTTGACAATCTAAGAAGAAATACAGTCTAAAATTAAAAAAAAAACATATCTCAAAACTAAGTTTGGGTGGGTTGGATCCTTTTCATTTAACAACGTCCAATTATCCGAATCGGTCCTAAATGTAATATAAAAAATTAAAACCAAGTTTTTTTGTTTTCTTTTGTTGTAGGTAACAAGTTGAAACTCTTTGGAGTCCAGATATATTTCAACTGTTATGGTTGAAAGCTAGAGGCGAGACACTACATGTTCTACGTCGCGCGGTTTTTTTTGCTACTATGTACCTCTATTATTGTATTTAGTATAGTAGAACTGTGGTTGTTAAACTTATATAATAAAGTTTATTCTAAGTGTGACAGTACGTTTTTCTTTATTACCAGTCATTGTCCGATTATCCGAATCAACCCATTTCGAATAAATTCAAAAATCGGCGTTCTACTGTACCCTAAAACTAGTGACAATACAACGGAACCATATGACAAACAGTGTATTTCATGATCAGTAGTAGATGACAGACCCTTCGAGGAATGTGTATTTTACTAATAATGCTTAAAGGTGTGATCCCACGATGCTTCGCGCGAGAACGCCGCGTAGTGTTGCCAAACTCTAACGTTAACAGTATCTATACATGATACGAGGTGATGATACGTATAAGGATGCATTTAGTGATGGCATAATCAATCCGTACTTACTGCGACGACCCTTTTTGGACTGGACATTTTATTAGTTTCTGATAATATTTTTGGTTTGTGTACATGACTCAAACAGTCAGCATTGTTCAAATCTCATATCAAAATGTACGAGATTTCTATTTACCTCGTATCATGTATAGATACTTCTAATTATCGAAAGTAAGATTTCTCAAACGTATGGCAACCCTGCGCGACGCGGCCTCGCGCATGACAACACACATCGTGGGATCGCACCTTAAGAAGTATCGACGACTTCGCCAAAACCAACTTGCAAAAATCGACTTTAACAACAGATCTATTAGATAGAAAAAAGAGCCATAATAAATAAACTTTCTTGGCAAATATAAATGGAAAGTTTGGTATTATGCTTTAGCATATGGCTAAATTGGTCAAAACTATGTTTATTTTTTGTCAACGTCGAATGTATCCACCCATATTTATTTGAGAATTTTGAACTGAATTTATAAATAAATATTTTTAATATAAATAAGCTTCTGTACTTACAGCTCAGCGGCAGCTGCAATTTGTAATACATCGCCAACGAAGCAATAGAACAAATAAAACAATAAGTCTTCCTTATATCGATTCAGTCGTAGAGGCGCCAACTTTTCTCTAATAGAACCGTTTATCAGATATTCAGGAGGCACGTGGTAGTCCATATCTTGTGGTCTGAAAGCAACAAATAACAACATTAACATATTGTTACGACAGCGCCATCTAGTCACTCTAGGTGGATCTTGATAGCTTGCAATCAATGGTGTCAGATCCGGGCAAATAAAAGGTGTCGACCAATTTTTTCAGTCATTTGAGGGGTTCTAGTTTAAGAAAATCGTAAACAAATCCATGTATTCGATGGCTAAAGATAAATTAAAAATATATATATTTTTAATGGTGGTCGACTCAGGGTAGCGAATAAATAGAGATTTCTATTCTACTCATCAAAAACTTTCGTTTAACATACATTTTCTTGATGTATTTGATAGCAAAATCAAGCAACTTTAGGAGTGTCGGCCGTCTAGACCTATGTCTTATTGTTCATACCCCAAAAATGATTCATGTATCTGATCCATAGGACTTTTATACAGCCGGCTCTCCGACTATGAATATTGCTTACTTATTACCTATAGGGCGTGTCCGCATAAGGTTCAGCGAATGCGCAAACCTTGGGCTGAAGTATCTTAATAAGTGATAAACATGATGACACTTATATTAATTCAAACTAGAAACAGCTTTATTTTCCAACGCTTAAGGGTGAAAATCGCTTACATCCTTACCTACAGGGCGTGTCCGCCCAGGGTCCAGCGAAGGTGAGGTACAGATTGTCCGGCGAATTGAGGTTCAATCCCAGCGCGGTGAGATCTTGCCCTAACGCCAACGACACTAAACTGGGGTCCGATTCCGCCGCTCGTATGAACGTCAACAGGCCCACTATACCGAACTGGTTCGGTATCATAGTCTCTGGTATATTCGTCACTTTGCCTAAAACACAAGTTGTAGTCGGTCAAAGTGAAGACAAGCGCGTTAAGAACTTAAGAAAACACTAGGCTTAGCATACATTAAAGTTGCTTCGACTAAAGGTGGCAAATCTGTTGCGAGGTGCAGCACAGAAAATTCATTTGACAAGAAATAAAAATTACATTGATCGATGTCGAGTGACAGTTCTAGTGCGCAAACGCATATATTAACATCACATTTTTATCAGTATTTTTTGTTTGGCTGGTAAATAATATATGTAAAACCAGTAATACATTGAGTATAATATATCGTACAACTAAAAGATACATTTGTAAGTGATAACATCAACAAGATGGGGGTTTAAAAGATAACGCTTTGAACAACTCTGACTGTGGCCATAAACCATAGAGAATCTTAGAATCTTGTCAAATGCCTTTTGCGTTTTGTGACCACAATTTGACACCGATGTAACATGCAAGCGACTTTAATATATCGTCAGCGTCACATTGAATACACACCGTAATATTCCGTATGTGCTCCTTGATTGATAACTTGGGGGAAGAAAAAATTAAAGTCAGAAAAACAGGTATTTTTAAAGTAAATGTACTACAACTTCTACTTGTTTATTTATGTTTATATCGAATCAAAGGCATGCATTACAATTCGGAATTTAAGGCCAAATATCTTTTATCTAAGATTATAATCATAAATTTTGAAAAGAATGTCATTTAAATTGACATAATACTTATTCTATGTTTGAAATAAGTGCTCATCACTCTCCTCATTTCAACATTTTATTCGAAACGAAATGTTGAAGTGAGATTAAATGGTGTGACCAAATAGTTCTTACAACATTTTAAAACAGTGCGTACAATATCACTTACAAAACTCATCAGCAGAAATAACTATAAGATCTATACGAACAAGCTTCATGCATTGCAAAATCAGTAAAATTATGTTGTAAAAACTACCCTTGTAGTTTTGTAAGGTATAACAAACACTTAAAAATTCTTCACACTAAGGACGTTTAGTGTCAAGAGGATTCATAACGCACTCGAGTTTGACACATTATTAAAGAAAAATATGTTAATTACACGTTCGTTAAAATCATGAAAATTTGGGCACTTTATTAGGTGCCCAATCACCAATGAACACCATATTACCGTAATTAATCATTGTTAAAATATAACATAAGTTTAGACTTTTCGTAAAGTTTAAAATTAAATTTTGTATTTTGCATGCAATGTTTTGCTAAAATGATATACGCAGGAACGTGTTAGAATTAATAATAAGTGTATCACCTTCCGTATATCGTGTTTATTGAGAAACCAAGATTTATTATGGGTTGTCTATTTGACAAACGTTTGGATGAGCGACAAAGCGAAAGATTACGCAAACCCGGTACGTGAACGAATCGAGACTTGACACTAAAACCGTCCGTCCAGGAGACCTATTTTTGAATCGCTCGTTTGAAATCACATCTTCGTATGCGACTTGAGTCACGCTCGTCTCCTACATCGAATGACGCTGTTAATGTGCATTTTCAAATTGTTTGGACCAGTGCTGCCAGCATAATGCGAACATTATAGAGAAAAACTAACTAGAAAAAAGTTAAATGCTAAAACAACGTTAACTTTTTGACGTTTATCATTCGTTTGGGTCGTTCTTAGCGACTAGTAGATGACAGCACTTATTGCAGTCGAGCGCATCAAAAACAGCTAATTAGGTAACCCTATTTGTAAACTACAGGTCTTAATATTACATCATGATGACACATCACGTTCCGTACATCGAGCGAAGTTTTGTAGAAAACGAGTGCTCTACGAAAGGCGGAGTCGAACGATTCAAAAATAGATCCCCCGAATGTGGGTAGAACACAAAAAGCGCAACACACTGACGACTTTCCCTCGCACTCACCATCGGGCGAGGTCTGTATGCCTTTCCTCGGCTTGTCGGCGTTATGGTTGGTATATTCGGGGTTGGTCAGCGCGGGCGCCGGCGGGCCGGGCTGTGCGGGGGCCGCGGGCGCTCCGCCCGTGCTCGACGTGCCCGGCAACGCGGGGAAGTCCTCCGACGACATCGTGAACTCGGACTGCTCGGAAGTTGGCTGCTTCACCATACCCACTGGAAATTCGGTGGCGAGTTAAACTCGGTGGCGTAGACTCAGCTTGTATAGCCCAGTCTCCTCGATTGGGAAAGTTTTGAAAATTCGCAATACGAGAAGTTCAAATAAAGCGTTTAAAGCTTAAAGTGTTTGACTACACTTCTGACGTATGGAAAGGATTTACACTTAATACGAAAGCTTTCAAAGTCTATCGGAGACAGAGGAGTATTTAAGGAGTGTATCACTCCACATTCCGAAGTGTGGAACATTCAATAAGAGTTGTTCAAAAAATGCCAGATAGTTCCCGCCGATAAAGCATTCACAGCTTTCTCAACCTATTGAATACTTTATTTTGACTTTTAATCTAGAATCATAAATCAACCATTGATGATGCCTGAAACGAGAAGAAGACCACCTGCAGCAAGCCAGCCAATATCAACAAAGAAGATTTTTATTTTTAATTATACCCATCGTAGACGCAGGGCCGTAGCCAAAGCTGTATTATTGGTGGGACAGTGGTAATTACAGGTAAGGCATAAACAAGAGCAGTAAGGTAGGGCAATGGTGTTTTAAAGCATACATTGTCCCATAATGCTCCCCCCCCCCCCCCCCCCCTCTTAGCTACGACGCTGCGTAGACGACGGTGTTTTTATTTATTGACACGTGTTTTTTTATTTATTTATAGTAAGAAAAAACTAAGACCAGAAAACATTCTATTCTAAGTTTTTAAGAAAATATTGATTTTGTCACAAAAAGGCCAACAAACTGGTAAAATCAGAACCAAAAGCTTTGATTCTTATTTGATACTTCGGGGACAAAGCTAACATGTAATATAGCCTTTATGTTTCAAAGAAATCTCTTCTTATGACATGCTGATTTATATACGTAACAAAATTCACACAATAATCAACAAAAGTTTGTAAGTTAGTTTACTTTTCAAGACAGTGTCTGTTGACATTCGCTTAGCACTTAGATTATTTCGCAACAAAAAATTGAAAACATGTATCTAAGTACTATGTGAAATTGTTATTGAAATAAATACAACTTAAACTGTTACAAAACTATAATTATTTAAGCGAAAATTACAAAAACTATAAAAAAACTGCATGCATAATACTGCAACTGAATAGAGACATATAACAGGAGGAGGCCCACTAATAACTTTAAAGAAAACCACAGAAATTAACCATACAATGGTGTCGATTCTGGCATGAATCTCTAAAGCTAAACTTAAATTTGACAACAGTGTATCTCTGTCATTCTCTATAGAGAATGAAAAGGTCAGCCTGATGTTAAATTTAGTTTTAAGTTTAGAGAATCGTGCCAGAATCGACACCATTGATTATTATTGTAGGCTTAAACTGATAATTTCTTTTATTCTGTATGCATAGAAAAGGTAAATACTGAATAACATAACATAAAAATTCTCAAGTAGCGCACTCCACGTAGATCCTCTGTCTGTATCCCATTGAATCCAAATTGGAAATAAGGAGAAACTTATCTGTACATAATATATATTACTAATTAATAACACTAAGCATAGCTAATTACTCCACCTGACCTTGTGGAGTCAGAGATGTGAAGATAACCAGCCTGAAACCCTATTCCTTCATACTGGCATTCTTTCACATCATTTTCAAATTTCGATTAATACTTTTGTAAGCATCAGAATCAGAACAGTCATTTACGTCTCAAACTTATGGGTTATGGCCAATCTTGTGTCAGAGTTGTTCAAGCCGTGACATCGACTCTGGCAGTGCCATAATCACCATCGTGTATATACATTACTTTTTAACATAAATCCTATTTATTATAAGCATCAACTTACTAATACACTAAATTCATCATATATAGCTAAATGATGTCATGCGCCGTTAATATCAGAATATCACTAGTGTGAATATAGTGTATTTTTATCGTACAGTTATTTACTATTCACTACAAAATTTACGCTTTTTTGTGTGTACGCTGTAAACTATGTATGTTAAATATAGGTGATTTTAGAGTTGCTGTTCTTTATTCCAAAATTTGGTACTTTGACACTATTTTTCGTCTACTAAAAAAGCCATTTTAGCTTTTAAATTCCAAGTTCTTATACATTAGTAAGTCAATGACAAAAAATAAAGTGAACTTCAGATGGATATAAAACTAAGCTATCTTTCTCGAGCAATACTACTGTAAACTTATTTAACTGAATTATTAAAAATGAGTGGTCTGAAATCCTTTTTAAGGCTCGCCTACTTGACTCTCACTTATGAAAGAGTTATTGATGTATAATATCCCCTTCTATAAAGTAATCCTAACATGTTATAACTACATAACACTCAATAAAAAAAGATACCACAGTATATTTTAATGACATATTTTTATATTTCTTGATTTTAATACAAATATATATCTTTCCTTTTTGTTTCATCATCACATCTATAGTTAAAAAGCATTAAGGATAAATCATTTGTAAAGGCATTTAGTAGGTCAATTATTAATCATACTTGTTCAAACAAGCCTAATGTGACTGCAGACATATCAGTTTGATTCACATGTCCCACTGCCCACTGCCGAATATTAAAAAGCGATTAGATCAAAGTAACTTGCTACAAAAAGGTTGAATGAATTCGTAGAGAAAACGTTTTCGCTGACATAATGAACTTCCTACTATCGATTAACATTATGTCACATAATCACATTCCATAGAACAAAAATTCAAGAAAAATTCTGGTAAGCCTCACAAGTAAAAGGTTAAAATGTTTATAGTACAGTCGATATAAACTTTTTAAGTATGACATTAAGGTTTAACATTATTCTGTAAACTGAAAACTAAAGGAGACCTTCGTTTCTGCCCAATTGTGTACCTCGGTATTAATTATGTTAAAAGCCATCTTTAATTATACTTAACTGAAAAAAAATCAAATTCTTAATAAATTCAATAGAAAGTAGTGGAAATCGGAATTAAAATATTTTGAAAAATATATATGCAAATCTAGGAATCTGCGTATTCTTTATTGCCTAGACGCATTTTGACATTGACTGGCTTTTAATTATTTATTAACTAATACTATTGGTTTATATTCATTTCCATTGTCATGATTGGTTGTTTCGAAAATCACGTGACTGTTTTCGTCATAAGTCAACTATGAATATGACGGTGACATTAAATTGCTTTGGAAAATAGCCAACTCTTTTAGTTATCTTTTAAGTATTTTGATGGGCTCGCAATATAATATTTTGTTATATTCAAGCTTTTCAAGCGATCAAGTTTATTTTTTTAAAGATTTCCGTAGATTATTTCAATTAATTGAAAGATGCAAATTACCATGATATATCATCTATGTTCCCATTAATTTAAATGTGTAAACAACATTTTTATGTGGTACGACTCGTACGACTGGATAATAAATTTCACTTATATTTTTAATGAATTCGGGGTATTTTGTCTACACATAAATGCACGATAATACTTGAGGTACAATATTGGGCAGAGTTGTATGGGGAAAAGAATGGATCCTTTGGCAGCAGTATCTTTTCTTTTATTTTGTAGAGAGTGTGTTTAACATATACTACTGCCACATTTAACTTTACGTTTAGGGAATACACCAGAATTAAGCCCATTGTATCAACATTATTTTATCTATCTATATTATCGAGCGAGAAAAAAGTCGATAGATAGTCGCTTCCCGCGCCTAAGCTGAAGTTACAAAGCTATTATCTATTTTGTATAGTGTAATAAGAGCTAAATTACAATTCGATCTAAAATGCTGCTGGGACAAGGACGGGGGGAGGGGCAAAAAATCATGAAATTCGTGTGACGTAATTTATGGATGACCCCTAACTCCATACCAAATTATATTAAAATCGCTCCCGCCGTTTAGACGTGAAGAAGTAACAAACATACACACTCACACACTCGCAAACTTCCGCCTTTATAATATTAGTGTAGATAAGTAAAACGTAAATAAAAAGTATGACGTGTCTGATGGTAAGCCGCCACCGTGACCCAATCCCCTACCCCGTGGAGCACTGGAATCTAACTCACCGAAAGAAACACAACACCACCAAAAAGTGTAGTGTTATTTTACTGTTATTTTGTATAAGGTGGAGGTTACTTCCCCAGAAGGGCGCTCTCCAATTAAAGCGGCAAATCCGCTTTGTCGTACCTCTCTTAAACTTGAATACAAGGCAATTTCTTTAAAATATATTGTATTTGACATTCGACAATCTAATCGCTTTCCACCGGCAGTGGGACAGTCGCGCGCAATATGTAAGCTGAAATACTCCTCTGTCTCTTAAACGAGTGAATAGCCACACAAACAACAGTTTGATCCATTTTCTTAACCATCTACGAAAGAAGTTTTTTTATTAAATTTTTTTTCCTAACTAGTTATGAAATAAGTCTTTTTTTCCATTTTCATATCAGGGAGCTATTGGCCTAACGGAAATGCTTTGGAAAACGCTAACGCTTACGATTTAATTTTGTTATTTCTAGCCGCCTGAGGTTTTCATATGCCTCGCACTCTTTTTTTTCTTTTGCGCTTGCAGTGCAATACCAATATTGAAAAAAATGAGCGTGAGGTATTTGAAAACCTTCGGCAGTCAGAAATAACAAAGTAAAATCGAAAGTGTTAGCGTTTTCCAAAGCATTTCCGTTAGGCGAATGGCCCCCTGGTTAAATGGGTTCAAGTTTTCTAATCAGGAAAAAAAACTGAATTATATAACTACGACCATGGAATCTTTCTTGACATTTTCTTAACTGGGTTAAGAAATGTTTTTTATTCCCTAGTTGTTTAAAGTAATTATAAAAATGGCCAAAAAATTTATATTTAATAACCAGTCGGGTAAAAGGGAAAAAAAAAACTTGTGTGTACGGACCACACATCTGAAATGAAACTTCGTTTCTTAAATAACCTAACATTAAGCGGTGCATAAGGCATAGGGGAATGGAGCAGCGCACGCATCACTCATATATGTATATATTGTCGCGTGTGACGCTCGTAGCGCTACAGCTTTCGCCAAGTTACCCTCCAACTTTCATGCTCGTCGGGAAGAGCTGGGAAATCCACACACATATACAGGTTTAATTTTAAAACACCAACAACCTCTTAGGGGGTGATTGTACACATCAATAGGAACAGCTTTTTTTTATCATGGGACCATCGCTGATATCGCGAAAAAAAAACTGCTGTTGCATACAAAAGTGCATCAGCTAATCGACCGAAATGTATGAAGAAACAGCAGATTTTTTTTCGCGATTTCAGAGTTGGCCCATAATAAAAGTTGTGCCTGTTGATCGGTAGAATTACCTAATAAGAGGTTGTTAGTGTTTTAAAATTAACCCTGTATATACATATAGTCGTGTGACGCTCGTGACGCATTTCCGTTTCATTCGATTTTTTCAGTGACATTCTTTCGTAGATTGTTACGAAAAACATTTAAGAGAATGAACCAAAGGACGAAAACAAGGCAAAATAATATCTATATCACTCACCGTAAGGTTTAGAGCCGGGTGGGGGCGGCGCGGCGGCGGGCGCCTGGTCGCCCGCGCCCCGCGCCGTGAGCGACGGGAACTCGCTTAGGTCTAGTAATGGCGGCGTCGACGTGTCACCGCCTTCGCCAAACACAGAATGGTAGTTGTTGCCCGCGTTAAACCTCGTCAAATTGCCCATACTTGACTGCAACAATGGTAAATAAAATAAATAAATAAATATGTCGCACTATCCGTAAATGGAATGCTCTGCCTGCTCACGAGTCCCTCCTTACAACCTGGGATTCTTTAAAAGAGGCGTGAAGAAGCAACATGCAGGCCGGCAAGGTGAGAATGGCTGGTGTGGCAGGTAGAACTGCTGTACCTGCAATCTTCACGTCTGGACTTCACCGTCACTTAACATCCGGTGGGGTGTAGTCATTCGTCGGACCTATCTATATATATATGATATCATAATTGACTGCAACAATGATAGAAATATGAAGTTATAAATGACCCTAAACTACAGATGCTCCAAATGTTTGGGTTTCACTTAGATCTACTTATAGTGAAGGCATCGTGTCGACGTATCCCTACCCTTGCCAAACACAGAATAATAGTTGTTTCCCGCGTTAAACCTCGTCAAACTGTCCCCCTTACTTGACTGCAGTAATAATAAAAATGTGGAATTATAAATGGGCTTCAAAGATTTAGAGATGACGAAAAAAGATGAAAGAAATTTATGAAGAGAATGTTTAAGAAAAAAGTTTTTTCTTTCTCTTTTTCCTTCTCCTTAGTGCCCTCTCTATCAGCCTATTTATGTCTCCAATATTGGGACCTGGGGTTCAGCCCTTCTCTATAGAAGGCATAGGGATGAATGGCCTACTACGCGGTCCCAATACGGATTGCTGGGTGCAAATGGAACCGGAATCAATGGCCTAACATGCCTTAGACATAGAAAGAACGGAATAAGTATTCCGTAGCCAGCTACAAGATAAATTCGAACGCCAATTACTGCCCGCCCAATCACTTGGTGTGTATAACAAATTTCTGCCCGCTTGTCACACGATAAAACTTTCTCTCTTTCTAGAAAGTAATTAATTTCATGCAGTTTTTTTCCCACACATACTTTAACGCAGACGTCAGACGTTCATCATCGGATGATCGGAACGTAATCGCATCTGTGAGAGGCAAATAGGATAAATCCATGGGTCTTGTCGTACTGTGCAAAATGTCAGAAAATTAGCTATTTTCATAACCGACAGCAGAGCTATGTCACTTCGCCCGAAGTGCCCAAAATCGACTTAAATACATCACAACACCCCGAATTTTGGGATTAACGCCATGATTGATGATAGTTATGGCTTAGGCATTACATACTCCATACAGGCCTACAGAATAATCTTGCTTATTTATACAGAATTAAATTACCCCAATATTTCAAAACTTTTAACTGTGTAGCTAAACTACCTCTTACATTCATTGCTCCCAACACAGCGTAATATAACGATTCAATATAAAAGGATAAGCCAAAACTCCCACCATAGATATAATTTTTATTTTTTATGTAACTGCTCGATGTTTAAATCTAAAAAAATGTTACTAGACAAAAATTCACGCGGACCAGGCAGCAGACGGGACCCAAACCCGCACCCTTCGCTATCCGGGCGAATGCACTATTATATATATTTTCTTTACACCATAGAATTGGTAATGCTTTGCGCCAACGACATGGGCATGGGTAGGTACTCCTCTGACCGCGAAATAGCGCTGTCCTACATTTGTTCAGGGAAGGCTCATTCCATTATCTCACAATGATACAATATAAAAGCTTTAAATAAAAATCACTCACCATAGAATTGGAATTAGGTTGCGCCAACGTCGTGGGCATGGGTACTCTTCTATCCGCGAAGGCGCGCTGTCCGAACAGTGTCGACCTGGAAGCCATGGCGGGAGGAGCGCCGCCGGGCATCGCCGTGGAGCCCCGGCCCGGCGACAGGGCTCCGCCAAACGTGGGCGTTACATGGCCGGAGACTCCGCCCACTAGGCCGCGCGAGCCCACCCCGCCACTAGCTAGGCTTCTAGGCGCTTGCTGGAAATTCAAGTTTGCCATAACCTGAAACACACATTGGATTATGAGTTTAAAAAAAATAGATTTATTGGTTTAAATTACAAAATCAACATGGATGGTGTCAAGTAATCCACTACAAGCTTTTACTGCAAGCAAGTAGTCACGATCTCAGCATTGAGGAAACCGAAGCGAGGAGGAGTTTTAGTGGTGCTCAATCCTCTCTGCTTTAAAAATAGTTATAAAATTTGAGAAATTTTATAACTATTTTTTATGGTATAATGCAAATAAAATATTTATGTTTTTTATGATAATAATTACGATAAGTCAAGACATTATATAGGATATTTGTTATATATCACTGATGAATGAAATCAAGACACTTTTAAGTTTGGTTTAAGTTAATTTAACTTCATTTATATTATTGTAATAAAATAAAGCATCATGTTACATAGTAAATTATTAAATTTAGTTCAAATCCTTCAGTGTGGTAGTAAGGAGTTTGTGTTTTTTTTTAATATAAGTTTTGGCTTCGTTAACAAGATTGTTTGAAGAGAGAATTGCTCAAGTTTGTTTTCTTTAATGGGGCTCTGACCTTTTAATGTGGATAAACAGAACAATTAATAGTAAATTAATGGTTCTAGTTACTTTAGATCTACATAATTACATTTTCAAGTATTTCTGTTAGTTTTCTTAATAATAGGATCAAGGTCACATTTGTTGTTACCATTTAACATTGAAAACACCTTTATTTTACAACAATAATACTTACACCATAATGCCAGTGTCATGACAACAACTGTAAAACATACTAGGTATGTGTACTTGTGCATTAAGCTACAAATAAATATGATAAAGAAAGTTGACTAATTCTTGATAAATTTGTTTTTAATTGGCAAATCTATTTCAAAGTTACATTAATTTCAACATTGGTTTAAAATTCTACCTACTTAATAATTATACACCTAAAAATGTACAAGAATATGAGATGCAAACAAAATATGTGTCTAGTAAAAACAGCAACATACATAAAAAAAATCTTAACCCTGTGTTTGTAATAGAGAAAAATTATACTGTATTAAACAGAAAATAATGCATTTATAACATCATCAATATAATTCATGTTTAGTATTTGAGGAGCTAGATAGTACAGTAATTAGTGCTTTCAGCCTGCGATTATGGAAGTTAAGTAACTTTCACAATGGCCAATCACAAGATGGGTGGTCAAAATTTGGTTATCTCAGAAAGAAGGCATGTTAATACAATAGTTCCAGCTGTAGTTGCAATTGTTAGTGCCTACCTGCCTCTGTACTGGGCTATGGGGGCTCATACCCAAGGCCCAATCTCCCTATTCCAACTATAGAAAAGTAATGTGACATTAATAGGCTGATAATAATATTAAAATATCATTACAATCTATAAAAAAAATATTATTGTGCATATGAACATTAGTATTAGATATATTTTATTGGAAAAATTCCAAATTTGCATTTCACTTTCCTTAATTAATAAAAATATCAGCTGTGTTAACAATATCCAACTGAAAAAACAATATGCATAAATATAAATTTTAGGTACAGAAACAATCAAAACAAGTCAGAATGTTATCAAAGCAAACAACGCAGTCTGTTATGTCTTTTACTATTTAAGGAGAGTAGTAACAACTTAAATATATAAATTTGAAATTCAGAATACTAAGTTATTAGTAGTACCAAAACATTCAAATGTACATTATACACTTCTAGACACATCTATCCGCATACCTAGAGTTTTAGGTTTTGGTGGTCCCTAGCTAAACATAAATGCAACATTAAGCCAAAAGTTAATAAAGCTGCTCATTATTGAAGCTGATATATTAACCATCATTTCATGTGTTTTTAAAATTATTGCTCAACCATAAACATATATTATTGCTGCAGGCCATAGAAACTTATAACTAAACTAAAACAATAATTATGAATTAACTACCATTAAAGAACTGTCATTCAATTTACATTGTTGATACAGAAAGGACAAAACCAGTTTTAAAAGAATTCCTTAATTTTAGTCAAAAATGATACTATAACTATATTATAAGTATAAGTTTAATATAGACTAAATAATGATAATATAAATAGATACTAACATTTCATCGAGCCAAACAAGACTTTTTTTCAAATGTCTTCCAACTTCTGAATGTGTATAGAATTTTTCAAGCTCTTGACTGGTCATTGATGTCATGCAAATAGTTTTGGAAGAGATATGCTGTCTGAATTGAATAACTTTTGTAATTCTGGATTGTCATGAACAATAGGGGCTGGGGTATTACTGTTTTAAGAGATTCAATAAAAGCCAGAATGATATTACAAAATACTTCAAAATTTTCCAGTTTTGACGGTTAAACAATAACTTGGCCTTTTATTTGGCTTGAATTTCTAATAATGCATTCAAGTTTAGATGCAGCTTCGTTGTTTTGAATTACTTTAGATGGTTCTAATCAGTTTCATTGCATTTAAGCTGTGGAATTAGACGATATGAAATAAACAAATGGGTACTTATATTATAGATAAACAAGATATCGGTTACTACAATAACAAATACTGTAGCTAGGTATATAGTGTAGGTACTTCATTAGCGATGGATATTCAACCACTGTCAAACAATGGCGACCCTGATGTTATAAATTTCACTTGGTTCTGCACAATTCATGAATATTTACCTAATGTGTCGTCGTCAGTCCTTGTTCCACTATTTCAAGACACGTATGGATGGTTCATAATCGAGTATTCCCAACTGAAACTGTAAATCCACTCTATTGAAATAAACAAAAGTTTGTTGACTGTTCAATTTAGAAGATGATCTAGATGTGTTCAAATTTTCAACACTAATTAAAACATTCAAATGAACGTCTCTGTCATCCAACACTGCTATAAAACGCTAAAGACTTTATACATCTTTACGTCACTAATAAATATTGTAACAATTTCACTCAGTTTTGTCGAACGCCACATTACCCTAAACAACTGGCGGCCATATTGTTGAAAGCAGATGTTACGAATGATGTCAATAGCAATACTTAATATTTTTATTTTATGAATATTGTTTAATTATTTATCCCGAAATTAATTTCGTAATAAACATTTCCGTTTAATCACACATTACATTTTAAAATAATTAGAAAGCTCATAGCCACAAATTGCGGTTTTTAAAGATTGTGTAATGACTGAGTTGAGAAAGGGTGAAAAAAAATTGCCATATCATACTACCCTCGTAAAGCAATAGTATATTCCTCTTTTTATTATTTTAAATATTTATGATTTATGCTTAAACTCACAGGGGGTCGTTGTGGTGGAGCCTGCAGATAAGATTGCTGAGTTTGCTGTGGGTTTTGATGAGTAGGATGTTGTTGAATCTTTTGGGGACTTGTGTGAAGAGAGGGTGGTCGATTTTGATGTTGAGTTCTTTGGGGGCTAAGTTGAAGGGATTGCATGTTGGTTGAGTGGGGTGGTAGGTTTTGGGACTTTTGAATATGCTGTGGACTTAGGTGCTGTGATTGTGGCCGGTTTTGGGAATGAGAAGATTGCTGTTGAATATGTTGAGGGCTCAAATGATGTGGTTGCTGTCGGTTTTGAGAATGAGAAGGTTGCTGCTGTTGAGTACGTTGAGGGCTCAAGGGAAGTGGTTGCTGCCTGTTTTGGGAATGAGATGGTGGTTGTGGAATATGTTGCGGACTTAGTTGATGGGGTTGCTGCTGGTTATGGGTATGAGGAGGTTTCTGTTGAATATGTTGGGGACTTATGTGATTAGATTGTTGTCGAGTTTGAGGATGAGGCGTGTGCTGCTGAACGTGCTGTGGACTAAGGTGATGTGGTTGTTGTCGGTTTTGGGAATGAGAAGTTTGTTGTTGAGATTTTTGAGGACTTAGGTGATGAGTAGGCTGATGGGTTTGTTGGTGGGGTGGCTGCTGTTGATTCTGGAAATGGGGCTGTTGTTGGGGTTGATGATAACTCTGTTGTTGGTTGCGAGGAGGGGGATGTGGTTGTGGTAGAAGTGGTAATGGGTGAGGTAGATTTGGGGGTGGGAGTGAAGGGGGATTCGCTGGATTATTTCGGTTATTCGGTCTTCTCCGCATATTTTCTATTAATAACATTAAATAGTTTCAACCTTATCACATTTTTATCACTCTTTAATCTAAACTATTCAATCAAGCACTAACCAATATTTTACTAACGACATTAAAATAGTTTTAATTCAATTTGATTTTGATCTACCTGCAATAAAAATGTTGCCTTTTGTTTGTTATATTAGGCAATTCTCACGCTGCCCCGCACTACGCTGCGGGGTGCGTGGCGAACTAGCGACGGAGTTTGCGGGAGTGCAGATCTGCATCATCATGCATATACCTATCGCTATACAAACTCGTGTTTCTCTGCATATAGGCGCGTGATCTGCAACACAAGTGAAAGTGTTTTCAGTATATTGCATTCTTAGAGCATAAACCTACCTTGGTATATATACTGTAAGATTTTTTCATATATATGCCGTAAGATTGCATTAGGGTGCGGCCAGAGTGCACTCAGACTCAGATTCAGATTTCGAAAACAAGCGCGAGAAATAAACAGTGTAGTCTAAGCAGGTTGCTTGATTTTTCTCGCGCTTTGTTTTCTGAGTCTGAATCTGAATCTGAATCAGGAGTGCAATCTGGCCGTACCCTTCGACTACACTGTTTATTTCTCGCGCTTGTTTTCAGAATCTGAATCTGACTCTGAATCTGAGTGCACTCTGGCCGCACCCGTACCCTTACGCGTGATTCAATAAACAAGAGAAATACTCGGAAACAACGTTTATAAGAGCACACGCTCCCGCGCTACGATGCGTGATGTGTTGCAGTGTAAAATCGCCTTACATTTTCTACGTTTAATGTTATTAATTTAAACTAAATGGCCTTCAATGAAGTCAAGTAGAAGGAGCAGTAGGTGTATTTATGGAGTATAGAACATTTTTATCAACAAAAACAATAAATTAATATAATATTTTTTAATCATAATCGCGTTTCAAATAATTAAAATTCAGTCTGGAAACTTGTTACACTTAACTTTTAGAAAATAAAGACTATTGTATTACAAAATTCTTAAATAAAACAAGGCATTTCACATGGCCATTCGTGTTTGCCATATCTATATTTGACAGCAGTCCTTCCTTCTCATGTGATATAAGGATAAACAGCCACGAGAAAAAAGCCATTTCGGTGTGGTTTTTTATTTTGTCTATGGTTTCGTAGTATATTTTATTATTGTCTTATGGCAACTTCGGGATCATATGATTGTTCAATGAAGAAGTACGACTGATAGGCGTCGACTTTCTTCTTTGGGCCAGTTTTTAATTCTCTGGCTCATTATCGGTTGTTTTTCGTGTTAGTGGTGTTTAAATATTAACTATCAGCCATGGCGCTCAGCGATGCAGATGTTCAAAAGCAGGTTCGTAGAAGGATTATGAGAAATTTTACGAATGCCACATGATGTGCATTTGTCAGAATGATTGATCCAGGCAGAGCTCATGATATTTCATGAGGCGCCTGGACTGGAGTCATTAATCAATCATGAATGCAGGAAATTCTGTTTCCGAGCTTAAACGTTCGTTTTTCTCTTTTACAGATCAAGCATATGATGGCCTTCATCGAACAAGAGGCTAATGAAAAGGCCGAGGAAATCGATGCAAAGGCCGAAGAGGAGTTCAACATTGAAAAAGGCCGCCTGGTGCAGCAGCAGCGGCTCAAGATCATGGAATACTACGAAAAGAAAGAGAAACAAGTGGAACTCCAGAAAAAGATGTGAGTCAGCTTGACTGAAGAGAGCTCCTATTAGCGTATCTTATTGTGATATTCGAATCATAAGGTATCATAAAAGGCAACTTGTAACACATCAGGTTATGGTATTTGAATCAAGCAGCAGGTATCATAGAAGACAACTTTGCTGCATACAGTATGAACTGGATTTAATATAAATTGAATTGCCAGTACTACAATGAGAGAAAGGGGCACAGTAACATAATTCAATTAGATTAAGGGTGAAAAATGATTTATACTAAAAATATTATTTATTTATTTTTTTCATTATATAATGGTGGAGAACTGCTATTCATCAATTGTCAATTTAAGAAATTTAGTTTTTCTTGAAACACAGCCTGGACATTCAAAATTTATATGATATTTTCATGTGGCAATTATCCATTAGTAGGCACATTGAATTTCTCTTAACATTTTTATATAGAAACGGGTAGCTATTATTGGGAATTCTGTTGGCATAAACCATATAATTAATTAGATAATCCCTCATAATTTTATGTCAGCATACTGAACATACAAATTATCAGAATGATCATATAACAACCAATGCTAAAGTCACATGACTTTTCAAGGTTCTGCTGTATTGGTCCAAATGGATTGACAGTAAAAAGCTTAATAAATTAAAGTCTTTACTGCATACAAATATTATGCAGGACAAATTGAATTATTAAAAGGTACATTTAAGTTTATTATTTACTCTGTCCAGGAATCAGACAGGATACATTTATTTCAAAAACATATACTGTGAAATAAATGAGATGTATTTTTCTTATGCATGCAGAATAAAGACACATTAAAACACACAAAACTTCTTCATAGAATAGCTCTGGCTCAGTCCTAATTCAATATAAAAAAAAACATCTTAAAAGCGGAAATTTATTTATCACTTCATACAATAGCCAAATGTGTAAAGCATCTATCTTGTGTGTGGGTTGTTATATTTATATTTTTTGCATTTATAGACAAAAGTAAATACTTTTTGTATTATTTTCCCAATTAAAAATTACATAAAATTTAATATGTTAATATTTATTTGTATGTTACAACTTACAGTGAGTGAAATATAATATGTAACATGGTAATTCCTTAGTATAACAAGATAAGCATGTTGGGCTATCTGCTTTGATAACAAAATCAGATTCTATAGTACTATAATTTCATTGTTGGTTATGTTTGATAAAATGCACTAGTAATATATCCAAGTCACATGTTTCTCCTCTTGTTCAATAACAAGAGGAGCACAATGGCGCAGGTGGTTAGCGCGTTCGGCTGCGATGGTTGAATATAAGCAAGTTTCGCAGTGGTCGGTCATTCGATGGGTGACCAAAAACATCTATCTCGAGTTCCTCCATGCTTCGGAAGGCACGTTAAGCCGTTGGTCCCGGCTGCATCTGCAGTCGTTAGCACCCGCCAATCCCACTGGGCCCGCGTGGTGGGTCATGGCCCAATCTCCCTATTCCATCCATAGGGAAGGCCTGTGCCCCAGCAGTTGGAACATTAATAGGCTGATGATGATGATGATGATATGTTTCTGGTCAAATTAATGTTTTAGAATACATTATTAAATTGTTTTCAGTCTCTATGTTACACTGTCATGTTTTCTGTTACATTCTGGACAAGTATGTTAGGCCATCCCCATTATTTTAAGAACCATTCATTAATTTTGTGTTGATTAAAAATTAAATATATATTTATTACAGTCAGAATTAATAACCATTCAATAAAAAATAAATCAAATATCTACATTTTTGTACACCAGAACAACTACTTTGGTAGTTGGCCTATTTTTTTTACTTGTAAAATTTACTAGCTGCTTAGTCTTGTTTATTTAGCCAAGTTAAAAATACACAACTTCCATAGCAGCAAATTCATTGCATAACAATAATATTCAAAATAAATTCAACATTTTATGATACAAGAAGTAATTTCAAGTGCGGATTGGCGGGTGCTAACGACTGCAGATACAGTCGGGACCAAAGGCTTAACGTGCCTTCCGAAGCACGGAGGGACTCGAAATAGAAGATTTTTGGTCGCCCATCCAATGACCTACCACTGCGAAAGTTGCTTAACTTCAAGGATGGTAGCCGAACGCGCTTACCACATGCGCCATCGAGCTCCTCAGTTACTCATTACTGACCTATATTTTCATTTGATTTTACAAATCGAAAGTGACCCAGGGCGTCAGATTTTAAAGGACAACCTTTAAGTTATAAACTTCCTTCAATATTTAAAATTTGGAGATAATTATTTTTTTCATTCATATCAAAATATTTAACTCAAGACAACCATCACAATATTTGACTGAAACTGATTTTATAAACACTCAGTTTAAGATTTTTATCTTTAATTTCTTTAGTTGATAGACAGAACAAATTGACAAAAGAATATCTTCTCGTAACATTTGGGAGAAAATAAAAGAAAATATTTAGGTTACAATGTCATTCTCACTTACTGAAGAACTTTTAAAGACTCTTTCTTCCCGTTTCCGATTAATTAGTGCATCATTCTTTTACTCTATTGAGATTTTAACAAAACATTACAGTATAAGTTTTTTTAGTTTAAAGGGTTGCGAACAAGCATAAGACCCGCCTGATGTTAAATCACATGCGCCATTGCCTACCCTAAGCCAAATCCTACTCCATCGAGCCCTAGAACCTTACACACCGACAGAAACACAACACCACCAAAATGTATCGTATTTTGCTTTGATCTTTCTTCTGTAAGGTAGAAGATACTTCGTCAGACGGACGCTCCAATTTGAGCAGATAATCCGCTTTGCCTTTTCTCTGTTACGTTGTTTTCGAATAAAACTTTATGCTACAGTAAAGCTAATTATTTTGGAATAAAGCTTCATTTTTATTGGTACTTAACTGGTTTTGTCTTCAATTCAGTCTGGTAGGACACTCCTAACTCCTATTCAAAAGTTAAAAAAAAACTTGATGTTTGTTGCTAACAATCTCAAATGTAAATTTTAGCCAATCTTCGAACATGCTGAATCAAGCCCGTCTGAAGGTGCTCAAAGTGCGTGAGGACCACGTACGCAACGTTCTCGACGAGGCTCGCAAGCGCCTGGCTGAGGTGCCCAAAGACGTGAAACTTTACACAGATCTGCTGGTCACGCTCGTCGTACAAGCCCTATTCCAGGTAATAATCTATATATATATATATATATAAATCAATTGCTGTTCGTTATTCTTGCTAAAACTCGAAAACGGCTGAACGGATTTATCTTCTTGGGTTTGAAATGTTCGTAGAGGTCTAGGGAAGGTTTAAAAGGTGAGAAAATATGGAAAAATTGCGGGGAAGATAGTAAAACGGCAATAAAATTTTCCCGTATAAACTTCTTTAACGTTCTTTCTTCTTTCCTCTCAAACATTTGATGTTCGGCCCTTTTAGTAGACGCTAGACTCGGGTCCGTCATTTCTTCCAAATTATTTTCACCCGTACGAAGTACGCGGAGTCAACTAGTTAAATATATAGGTAATTTAATTGCAGTAAATATTTTTAACACAAACACCAATTAAAGCTTTTACTCCAAAGTTACTACTGTAACTGTGACGTGTAATGAAATTATTTTCGTTGCGTAATCGCATCGTACTACAATGTGACGTCGTTTTTGCACTGTTACATCGCAACGCAGTGTTGTGGCTCTCGCTCTTAAGCTTGTGTTATTGGATACTAGGGTAGAAATACATATAATGATACTCTTTTACAAATCACTACATAGTATAAAGTAAAGTCGCTTCCCACTGTCTGTCCCTATGTCCAAATGTATGCTTAGATTTTTAATACTACGCAACGGATTTTGATGCGGCTATTTTTAATAAATAGAATGATTCAAGAGGAAGGTTTATATGTATAATACATGCATAATATAGTAGAGAAACACTGATAATTTTAGAGGTTTTTAATGTAAGGTCTTTTATAATATTATTGTGATTGGTGGGTTTTGTAATAAGGTGATATTATTTTCAGCTCATGGAACCCACAGTAACAGTTCGCGTTAGGCAGGCGGACGTCTCCTTAGTACAGTCCATATTGGGCAAGGCACAGCAGGATTACAAAGCAAAGATCAAGAAGGACGTTCAATTGAAGATCGACACCGAGAATTCCCTGCCCGCCGATACTTGTGGCGGAGTGGAACTTATTGCTGCTAGAGGGCGTATTAAGGTAAAATTTTCAACTATACATATAATAAAATGGTAGGAAAGTCAAAACTGTACATTGAATATCCTCAGGGTGTGATCTACAATCGATGCCGAAGCCAAAAATATAGTTTTTAGAATTTTTGTCTGTATGTATGAAATTTGAAGTAAATCCATGCAGTACTTTAACTCAAAAAGTACTGCATAGATTTACTTCAAATTTGGTACGAATATTAAAGAGAAGTCGGGTCAACATATAGGCTATATATTATCACGCTTTCACTTACGGGGAACGAGCAGTGAACCTTTATTTCTAATTTACTCCACGCGCACGAAGTTGGCGGCCGCTAGTTTTATTTATAAACTAGATGGCGCCCGACAAATTCCAACCCACCTTTTTCATCCCCGTGATTGTCATTTGATGATTTCTAGGATAAAAACTATTCTATGTCCTTCTCCGGGACTCCACATATATCTATACCAAATTTCATCCAAATCGGTTTAAGCGTGATGAGGTAATAGAAAGACAAACACACACTTTCTCATTTATAATATTAGTATAGATACACTGTATTTTTTTAAAGAATTACCTCCAGAAGATTGCCGACTTTTACGGCTATTCTGCAGACCAGTTGGCCTATTGGCAAACTTAATTGATATTTACAGTGTGTAAATAAAGAGGAAATTACATTTCTAACCACAGAAAACAGAAAGAGATTAGAAGGGTGATCATAAATCGTTTGTACGGGAACCGATGTCGCCGGCTCGCCCCCATTACACTTCCTACTAATAGATCGAATCAAACGACGCGACATCAAACAATCGTACCAACCAGCGCTCACACCGAGAGAGCATCGACGCAATTAGAATCAAGTTTTGTTCAAGTTATGAGCATTTGCTCACACAACTGTGGCGCGCCTGCCCCGCCTACAAGGCCCTTCTAAGCTCTTTCTGTGTTTCTAAGGAGGCTTTTCAGGACAAGTATTTTCATCATCATAAGCCTATTAATATCCCCACTGCTGGGGCACAGGCCTTCCCTATGGATGGAATAGGGAGATAGGGCCATGACCCAAAACGCGGGCCCAGTGCGGGTTGGTTGGTGCTAACGACTGCAGATGCAGCCGGGACCAACGTCTTAACGTGCTTTCTTAAGCTCGGAGGAGCTGGGGTTAATACATTTTTGTTCACCCGCACAGACAGCGCTCTAAACCATTTTGCGATTTTAAAAATAAACAAATATTTCTATCACCCACCTCACTCAGCCTAGCCCCATAGTAAGCACTGTACCCTTAGCACCAAACAATATCGAATTCGAATAGTTTGCGAGTCCAAAATGTCACTGTTAAATATGTGCTGATTTTTAATTCACGTTGCGTCCGTGGTAGCGCTACTGTTCAAGATTCCATACAAAATCTGACAATGACATTTCGGACTCGCAAACTATTCGAATTCGATATTGCTTAGTGCTGAAGTACTGGAAGGGTCGTTTTATGGGATACTAGAGTAACGGATACAATACATGTATTGAAACATATAAAAGTATATTTATCTAGAAATTCATATAAACATTCATCACTTCATGACAAACTCTCATGATGATGTATCATACAAATATTTGCCCCACCGGGATTCGAAGTCGAGCCACTGAGGTTCTTCAAATTCAGTGCATATATGAGGAGTTGGCAAACAAAACGGTATAATAAATTGGTGTATGTTTATAGTAAATAACTTTATTTTTATTATAGCCGCATTCATGGATTTCTTTATGCCTAAAGGTCGACTGGCAGAGAATGCTTTTAGCGTTAAGTCTGCCTTTTGTCCATCTTTGTAATTGTGGCAATAAGGTTTAAATAAATAAATATAATTACGCATCTGGTCAAACTACTTTATTTTTCAAAGTCCGGAGGTTTCGGACCCGTTGAATTTGTATCTCAAATAATTTTCCAATCAAAACCACCTAAAACAGTGTTAATATTACTAAATTTATAAATTAAAAACCATACCAAAAGCTCACTGAAGATATGTCATTCGGTTTTATACAGCTCTTGTAAAATTTAATTTTATGTAATTATACTGTTTTGTTCGCCAGCTCCTCAAATGTAAATATACACTATTTTCATTTAGCCTTATGTAAGATGGGGTGAGGAATCCGTTCTATCCGACTGTTTTTTTTACGCTTCCTAATTTGAATTGTTTAGTTTCATACTTGATTTGATCAACACACAAATTTTATCGTTAAAACCACAGATCAGCAACACTCTGGAGTCTCGTCTGGAGCTGATAGCCCAACAACTGTTGCCCGAAATACGTACCGCATTGTTCGGCCGCAACCCCAACCGTAAATTCACTGATTAAACACACTTGTTACAACTAACATAACTATTATTATTATTATATAAACAAAAAAACGTATTTAGTAGACTACAATAATGTAATAATAAGTGTTTTCCTTTGCCTAATAATTAAATATATAAAACTATAATAATAATGCGTACAATATTTTATCGCTGTTTAGAATGTTAACTGACGAATACCCCGATAAGTCGCCAGAAAATGTATACCCCCCCCCTTTTTAAATGTATTATCATGTAACTTACTGATTTCTCTAGTATTTAAATAATCTACTGTGAACTGTACATTGGTTTCGCTAACGGATGTTATTATTCTGCCGCTTTTCTGTTTATTTGATGATAATGAAATATTTTATTATTACATACAATTCATTCGTAACGATGTTGTTCTTCTATGTATTTTTAGATGATGTAGTTTATAGGGTTTTGGAAAAGATTTTAATTAAGATGATGTTACCATTTACTAAGTACGTAATGCAATTATAGATTTCGGATTGTCTATACACTGTAACAGGTATAAATTATAGCGCACCATGTTTTCAGTATTACCCCCACACACAAAAAAGACGGTAAATCTTCGATACTATGTGTAAACCTGTGTATTGTATTGCTGTATACCTTATTGTTGGATGTTAATTTTTGCTTCACACGCTGAACTGTATTGGGAATATATTGTAGGCTGGAAATTCGTGATATGACAGCAGCATCCCACGCTGTTCTCACTTAAATCGAGGCAAAGATTTGACTGAGCGCAGTGTGGTGTTAAATCGCAAATTTTCAGCCGACCAACACATTCCTGCTTTTGTGTTATATTTCTATAAAGTCCTGGCAATGTAATATTTTGGCTTGCTTCATTTACAGTGCACCATAGCTCATTATAGGATACGATGTGTAACTCCCACTATGGCACTGTTGAAAATTCTTATGTAAATATATAGATGTGTTAAAAAGGGGCGTTTTATTTTTTAACAGCACTCAATCAAACTAAATATTTGTTCCATATCCATTTATTATTCTTAGGTTTAAATAATATATATAACTATAAAGTTACAGGTAAAAATGAAAACAAGTATAAAATATAACAAAATTCTTAGGGCAATTTGGAAAAGGTTTACAATTAATTTAAACTCAATATCAAATTGCAACCATTAATAAATAGCATTTAAGTAACTTACATATTTTTTTTTTCTAAATTTTCCGAAATGCCCTAAAATTTTTATAACGAATAGAGATCGGTAATATTTAACTCGTAATTTACTTTATTTATTTATTTTATTTAGACGTACCTAACACTGTTTTAGTTATTTAACAAATTAAAAGCCGTACTTTTAAAGTAGGTACCTGCATGTTGAAAACGTGATAATTTGAAATAATTCGCAAAACAAGATTAATTATTTCGATACGCGCGGAAACTTTGCAATCGTATGTAAGTAGGAGCACCAGCGTGTCGCTACCACCGACAAAAAACAAATTATCAACCTGCTATTTGTAACGTACTTCCTACTATAAAATTGACTTTCATCAGAATTTCATGTAATTTCTTGAAACAATTTTCATTTTATTTAAATAACTGCATTTGTCCAATAGATCAAACTTTTTAATCGACGCAACATAAGCCTAACTAACATAAGATTTGATGCGAAGATTTCGAAAGAAATATCCGGTTTATTAAAATGTAATATAATAACAATAGGACAAGAATTATTTGCGTGATAAGTTACTTGAACTGTGTGTTCAAAATACTGCTTGAACACCCCGCTTCTGTCGCAGAAATAATGATTTCATAGAGCTACCAGCCAGCCCAAATTGCTGTTAATTTGTTGAATTCTTAAGACTGCTACAGTGTACACTTAAGTCTTCTCCCAATTTAACTTGTTATAGTATCTGGGAAGTTATTATTACTTATTGTACTTATCTTGTAGTGTACAAATAAGTTTTGATTGCAAAGTACGAATGTACTTTACATTTCTTATCAACTCCAATCTTACAAATACTGTACCCTACATACACCACGTGCGCTCAAAATGTGTCCTAATCAAAAAGTGCTTCTTGGTTCACAGTCACGCGCGGACCGTTGAAAAGTTGCCGCAGAGCTCCGTGAAAAAATGAGAAAAAAAATTATAGTATGTAAAGTGTCGTTTTTTCGACAGGTATCTAATCAATGTTTGTTAATTTAACGCATTAGAAACAAAATTTGTTCTAATACTTACTATAAACTGATTCAATAGAAAATATTTGTAATATTCAAATATAATGCGATTCAACTAAGAATAGGATCGACGGGGCGCCATATTGTGACGTCATAGCTGTCAATTCAAACGAAAAAGGTAGAGTGAGCAAAAAAGTTTTTATTTAATAAAAGTTATTTACTAAGATTAAGTGAGAAAAAATATCCGATTTATTAATAAAATTTATTTACTAAAATTGAGAAAAGAAAATAACCGGTTTTTAATTATATTTATTTATTAAGACTGTGCGAGAAAAAATATTAATCAGAATTAAGCTCTTCAATTCCGCTCATCTCGGCATTACCGTCTGAGTAGTTATGAATAATCATGCACTATTACTAGGTCACATACTAACATGCATCCTATATGTAAACCAAAGTTTTAAATCGACTTTATGAACACAACTTAAAGTGACATTTGGTTAACGATTTAGGTTATCAAACAGTCATAGCCAATGCTCAATAAATGAAAATAAAATATCAACTAATATTAATTAACAATATTTGTTATTGTTTGTTTACAAATGTTTGGTTTTTATTCCATAATTAGCCGAGTGCTAAAAAAGGGTTCCAAGATTTTTTTGCAAGCCGTACCTTTCAAGCGACATTTGACAGATGGAGGTCATTGGCTTTCCTATTCTTGTTTAAATCGCATTATACATGGTCGGTAAAATAGCCATCTCTTTTCCTCGCGGTCCGTACCTGCTACATTACTAACCAGTGTTGCCAACTCGGATTTTGAAAAAGGCGTGGGCCCGATGAGAAAATTACGTAGAATTAGTAAATTTTGGATATTTAATAATCGTTCTATCAGATCGAAAAATAAATGTATTATACAAAAACGCTATTTAGTCTATAGACTTATCTATGCTATGACATCAAAACATTTGAAAACAAACACTCGCAAGCACGTAGGAAATAAACTTTCTAAGTTAATATTATAAAACCATGACTTCTAATAGATCACATGAAAAATATAGTAGTTATCATGATACACTTGGTAAAAGACTAGAAAAATTGTGGTTTAAATTGCCAAGAAAAATAAACATACTTACACATGAACATATGTTTAAAACTTGCTAAATCCTGTAACTTTATCGACTGAAAGTCATTTCTTTTTGCAAAGATCAATTCGATGTGAGTATATACTCATTGATAATATTAAAAGTTTAAAAATTCAATTTTTAATGTTATGAATGTACCTACTAAGTCAAAGAGTTTTCTCGTTTCTGCTTTCACAAATCCTGCGTCCAGCATTAATTTAGTCAACAAAACCAATAACGGGAACCTTTTCTACAAGATACGAGAGTGTAAGATACATCTTTATAAGAAATAAACATTTCTATAGTTTTTAAGTAAAGTAACGGAAAATATTCTTCTAGAATAAAGAAGAATATTTTAGTGAATTAAGTTATTTTACAAATTTGAAAAAAATAAGAAAATACGTAGATTCTGCGACTGAAGTTAGTCATTTTTTTTTTCATTTTCAAAAGCGTTTATTTAATAAATTTTTACAACCATAAATACATTGAGTATTACTTACAATATTTATGTTGAAACATGCATTCCGGTACATTACTTTTCCAGACTAATTAGTTGCCTATATAAGTATACATACTACACACTATAAATATTATAAACTGAAGTGAAGTAACTGACTGAAGTTAGTAGGTTTCCGGAAAAGGCCTAAAATACGTAGATCTACGTAAAAAGACGTAGAGTTGGCAACACTGTTACTAACAGCGCATTCAGAATTGCGCGAAGAGTCAAAGAAATAAGGTCTATATTCTTCCGCATATAGCCGTAAGTCGTAAAATTTTACGAGGTTGCATTTCGAACTGTCACAACTCTGACGCATGCGTTTTAATTAAGACATTATACAAAATGCATTAAAGTTTACTTTCAATATTTAAATAATGCTTTATATAGTTTTTGACTTCGCAATCTGCTTAGGGGGCGTCCATAAGTTACGTGAGATGTTTAAGGGGAGGAGGGGGTCGAGTCAAATCTCATTTAATCTTATGTTGGAGAGAGGGGGGGGGGGGGTCTCGGCAAATATCATGCAATTTTTTTTCTGATTGAAACAAAAAAAGAATATATACTATGTTGGTCCATTTAATGCAGATTGTACATGCTTAAGATTTAATGTTAAGCGTTATCGTAATACGATTAAGATCATTCACTAATTTCGAAAGAAATAACTCAGCATATTCATTACTAGTCTTAACTAGTCGTAAATAAAAGCACGAAGCAATTTTTTTTTCTTTTAACAGTAACAATTCAACGCGTTTGCGTAAGAAACCCACATTTTGAAAATCTCACGTGAGATTAGGGGATGGGGGAGGGGGTTGAATAAAATCTCACGACAACTCACCAGGGGTGGAGGGAGGGACAGACAATTAAAAAAAACCTCACGTAATTTATGGACGCCCCCTTACGGAGCTCCGTGCATCGTCCAATATATCTAGTGGTCAGGTTTCGGGCACGATTTTGTTCGTGTTGGTGTATCTGGGGTATTTAATATCGTTGGTCATAGTTAATAACTTAGCTTGCGAGTTAGTGCCTTGGTTTTGCCTATATTTAAGGCCATTCAACAAGACGCCAGGCTACGACAGCGTTAATTTTTGTTTTCGATCGACTGTGAACCTTATGACAAGACAGACAAAGTTTGAGCTTTGTAATAATCAGTTTAAGAATCTTGACAAATTTATAGATAACGTGACCGCTATGTCTCTTCTGCCACTTGTTTTTAAAGATTTTTTGTTTTTTTATATTTACTACCTCATTAAAGTCGTGCTTAATACAAGTTAATACTTAATTTTCGTTTCGTTTAAATACTGTGACTTTACTGAAGTCATGTGCTTAACATTCAAGCCAATGATTAAAGTTAGTCAATGACTTAAATACCTGAGATTTCACCTCGCAACTATATGCTAATATTTATTAAGATTTTCCTAAAACCCAGTTATTGCTACTGCCAGCAAATAGCAATACCTGATAAATGAGGAAAATCGCGATTTATCTAGGTACCTATAGCTATTTAAGAGATTTCGAAGACTTGGGTCCGAATGTAATTAATTAATGGACTTTTGGCTAGTTACGCTGGTCTAATGATACCTACAAAATTTAATAAAATAATAGGTACCCAAGCAATGTATAGAAATTCAATTTATAGAAGAAGTTAATAAAGAATTATGATCACGGTCCGATCATCCAAATTTTTTTTATGCGAGATCTAGGTGTCTTTTTTATGCGAGATCTAGGTGTATTAGACAGCAGATTTTGAATATAATAAATGTATAATAATAATGGTGCCGATTCTGGCAGGGTTCTCTAAACCTAAACTTAAATTTGACAACAGTGTATCCTTGTCATTCTCTTTACAGAATGAAAAGGAGAGACTGATTTTAAATTTAGTTTAAAGTTTAGAGAATCGTGCCAGAATTGACACCAATGTTTCCTAACGTGGAGACCTGTAATGTAATTGGCCATCTGTAACTATTTTTTGTCTTCAACTATGTATGTTTTTATGAGCTGTTGGTCTCCCAAAAATTAAATAAATAAAAAACAAATGATTCACGCAGCTTAGGACGATCATTCCCGCTCGTCACCCCCAGCTTTGTCCCCTCCAGTGACGAGTGGGAATTTTATGTGTTTTAGGCACATCCGTCAGTCACCCCTGATGACGAGTGGGATTTCACTTAGGAAAAATCTCTGTTGTCACCCTTTACATTTGTTCTATCTAAGCTTCATCAAATATCGTGTCACAGGGAACACCCTCCGTTCCTTCCTTCCCCGGAAAATAACTGATATCTACGCCAATTAGCTAATATGATGTGATCAAACCATTTGAAGATCTAAACAACAAGATGTGAAACATCCGGGGTATAAGCTGGTAGGTATCTTGGCACACGCGGCTCGTCCCGTCTCCTGGCACCGCGGTCCACAGCCAGGCTGATGCTGCCCGCTTCTTTAACTCCATTCGACTTCGCTCTTCGCTGCGAAGGCAGTATAGCAGCACGCAGAGACTTCCGTTTCTGAAATCACAGAAGTATCAGAAGTGCTATCAACACGAAATACCCAGCGGTGTTTTCAGACGCGAGTTGCATGCAAAGTCAACCATTTGCGGAAATGCTAGGGCTATTCATGCTCAATCAGAGCTAAAAGACGTGGCAATCAAAAATTTGAAGGTAAGTAAATTACTTAAATAATTTTCATCATTAGGTAACATAGAGCAAAGCGACCGACGCGGCATAGAGGGGAGTAGCCATAGTGACACAGTACTACTGAAATCATTCTGCCACTTTGCAGGGGAAAGAATATGCATACAAATGCAGTCTAACATTATTTCGCAAAATATGATACGACACTCACATATAAAAAATGACAACAGTGACATCATAGATCAAACTTAAGATTTTTTATCGACAGATCTGAAATTTGTACTGGCGAGTCGATTGTTTTGTCAAACAAGTCCGAAGATTGAACTTCTATAAAATAATATTTATTTTCTGTATAAAAGTGCTAACATGGAAATAATATGTTAATAATTCTACTTACATATGAAATGTTACATCATCCTCTTTTATATATGATGTTGCAAATCTGTTTTTAAAGCAATTTACAGAACAATTTGGCATTTTTGTGCTCTGACTTACACTCTCACGACTTGAGTCAGCCTAGTGAAATATCCAAGCGCAACTAGTTTTGTTTTTTAGCTGTCCCAACAGCGGGAGAAAATCGACAGAGGGGAACGCTGTGAATGCCTACTAAGGCCAGCAGGGGTCCTGGCCGCGTCGGCCGCATTACTCTATGTTAAGTAAGGTCAGGCGTCTATAGAGTTTAACACTAAGCAGACTATCACAGGGTCGAACTTTCGATTTCATGGCACTATTACGCGAAGGTTATTTAATTATAATTATAGAATAGGTAAATATATTTAAGGCATCACTACTTGAATGGTAGGTACATTCCTCATAACCATTGGCGTCTACTTGAAAGAAACGGAAATGGTATATGTCATTCCCTAAAGATGAAGGCAGAGGAAAACTTGCTACAGCGGGCGTGAGACATGTAAATCTACTTACGACATCAAATTTCTATTATCACATCCAGCGACTTCATGATCCTCAGTTAAGCAGCGGGGACAAAGCTTTGTCTTTGGTGATGATAAAAATTAAGAATCTAAATGAACGTGAAACGTGTTTGTTTAAGAATAAATACTTTTGAATATTGGTCGTTAACAATGTTTGAATGCCTACGTGGTCATCGTATATCATCGTTTATCATAAGTCTATATTTTGCTCTCTATCTGGTGTTTGATGTGGTACTGAGTCACAAAGGCTTCCGCCTTGGCTTTGTTTACCTCGACACAGCCACGCCACCTATCGGCCGCGTGACGGGCAATCTCCAACCTCTTCTGCTTCCGGATCTGGTGTCGTTTGTATACCACCTCAATCACAATAAGGACTATCCCTCCTATGATGCCGGCCAGCACAAGTATGAACACGCCAGCCATGTTTTTCAGTCCGAGCGTGTTGGGTGTCTTTTCATTTTCTTCGCAGTTTAGCATGTTGTTTCTTAAGATCCATTGGTTGTCCAGGGATTCCATTATTCCACCTGGAAGACAATGGATACATATATAGGGATATATTGACCATCCAGCAGAGTTTCTAAAGACTACCTATACCTGCCTAAATACGTGACTTACTTTCATGAAAGTCCAATATGGCCAATGTGACCAAATCTGCCCAAGGAGATCCCTTCTTCAGACCCACGCCGTATCCGGAGCGACCGAACAATTCCCCAGCTGTCACAAGCTCACAGTCCTGTGCCGCTTCAAATTCCAACCGAGAGGAATCCCAAATGAATGCCATTAGTTTCCTGAAAGCGTCAGTAAAATGTGAAATCATCCAATAACGAGAGCGTTAACAGTTGGTAAGTAATAGGCCTTAACCTATGAAATTGCCGTTCTGCTGTAGCCGTACTTGCTATTTCAAGTACATGTTTTCATTTTTCGTTCAAAGTTCAAATGATTTTAATTTTAAAAATATGTTTTTTTTTAAAAAAGTTAGTCATTTGTGTAATGGTTAGCTTTATGTATTCAGCGCATTTGTAAGTTTTTCGTCATCATGGATAAGTTAAAAATTTGAGTGGTTATGGAGAATGAGTACCGTCGTGGCAGCAAAGCGGCAGAAGCGGCAATAATCAACGAAGTATACGGATCGAACACTATAACGATCGCACTTCCGTTCGGGAAATTTCGACCTAAGAAACGAACCCCGTGGTCGACCGGAAACTTTAGTGGACTATGACGAATTATAGGCGATTGTGGAAGATGATTGATGATTCTCAATCTACAGCTGAATTAGCAGCAGCTTTCGATGTTAGCATCAAGGCAAGGTAAAAAAGCTTGACGAATGGGTGCCCCACGTATTGAATGAGCGCCAGCGCGAAATACGCGCCGAGTCGAGCCTTGCACTGTTAACTGGCACACAAAGGAAGGCATATTGAATTGCATGGTTACTTGTGACGAAAAATGGATTCTGTTCGATCTTAATCCTTGTTCTGCACCTAAACAATGCCTCAAACGAAAACTGACCTCTTAAAAAGTGATGGTCACTGTTTGGTAGTCTAGCACCGTAGTCTTTCATCACAACTTCTTACCAAACGGGATGAGCATTAATGCAGATGTGCACTATGAAGAACTCAACACAATGATGGAGAAGCTCGCACATCTCCAACCAACTTTGGTCAATCGTTCGGATCCGCTGCTCCTGCACGGCCGGATGAGCTGGCCCCCAAGCTACAAGTTCTCCGTCATCCACTGTACTCACCAAACCTTGACCCCACAAAGTTCTTCCAGAATTTAGTTAACTTCTTAGCGAGAAAAAATTCAATAACCGAGAGGCAGTTCAAAATGTCTTTGAAGAATTTTTCAAAATTGGGTAACAATAAGATACCACTTGGTTGGCAAAAGTGCATTGATTGCATGGGTAATTAGATTAATAAAAATAAAATATAAAGAAAAAAGTACGTTAACTTATTTCATGAAAAACTGCATCTTCATAGGTAAAAACCTAATACAATATAAAGTGTGGTTTCTACAATATTTCGACCAGAAATAAAATCTGATATACTTGCTGGTGTATACGCGGAAATAGCCAGGTAAGCAGCGAGAATTGTCATGCATAGCACATAGTTATTGCAATTACTTGTAGAATTTCAAAACAACTTTGGTATTGGTGTTCATCGGAAGTGTGACCATAAGTTTATTTTCTATAAAGCTCCTCGGTTCCTACTTCAGATTGCACATTTTGCCGTTTGTTTTAGCTATGAGTAGGTTTTGCAAATTGTTATTAGTCAATCATCAAATGGATAACCAAAAGTTTACTATCTCAGGATTCTTCGGGCTTCGTAAGATATGTTCAGCTGTTGATCCAAGCTTTAAAAGTATCTATCACTGTAATTGGTTCTGTTTTAGCAGCAGCAGGTATATAGCCCGTTCTACCTATACGATTTTAGTCCGTAAGGTTGAGACTTGTATCCCAGTAATGGAGACACTGTTATTTTATGACGCTGACGATTACATACCCATTCTTGACGTCTTCAATGGCCTGTTCGGCATTGTCGTAATTGTTCGCCTCCATCGTACGGTACATGTTGGATAGCTCGACCTGTCGTCTGAAATACATGTCCACGGCTGAGCCCTTTACGGTGGCGCACGTTAGATTCTCCATCGTGTTTCGTAACTGTTGAAAAGCAATTTTAACTCTGAGAATATGCATTTACCCATCAGTGGACAATTTGCCAAATAGGTAGGTACTTTTAGCTTCCGACATCTAAGTTATCGAAAGTTTTCGTAATAGTTAGGTTAAGCATAAAAGTTGCCTATGCTGAGAGATAAGCGAAAAAAAAATCTGCTAACTATTGCGTGCAAATAGGTTTTTCTTCATGTGAAATAAATAGATTGCCACTCGCATTGCATTGGAGACGTATTCCACCAAATAGAAGAAGCAATCAAACACACATTCCTGCCATAAACTTCTTATTTATTCCATTGTGCCTATAATACAGTTAGTATGACGAAAGTTGCCAAAGCTATGAGACAAAATTGGTGATTGCTGCTCGCATACAACATGTATCAAGCAGTTCATAGTTTACAGTCACATTCTCACATTTCATCAACTCACCCTAGCGTCGTTAATGCCCGTGAGCTTGGTCTTGGGCCTTTCGAGCACCAAGAAGGCGGCCAAGTTGGCGGTGTACGAGGCAACGATTATCATAGCGAAACCAGCCCACACCATGCCGAGGACTCGCGCCGAGAAGCTCCGGGGAGTGCCTGAAGGTAATCTTCAATTATTCCTTAAGAAAAATATATAAAACTTTTTGCCATGTTAAAAAAAATGTATGTATTTCGACAATAATTATAAATAATTTGATTTATGCTGCGCATTTATTTTTGTTAAAATGAACCATACTTTTATATGAAACCAATTATAAAAAATGTAAGGACCTCTTTGAACTGCGCTACTTCACCGAGCTCACTGTTCAAGAGCACGCCCCAAGCGAACCGTATAGCGCTGGATAAGTTCAAAGTATCCTCCTCACTGCCGTTTATATTGGCCAGCTTGTCACCACGTGAACTAATCAATAAAGAGTAGTATCTAACCTATTATAACTCCTGTGTATAAGTAGTAAACTCTTTCCTCGAATTCACCGATCCCCTGCTCAAGAGCAAGGGCGGATCCAGGGGGGGGGGGGGGGGCAGGGCTGGGTCCATCTGCACACACTTCACAATCAGTACCCACTGTGACTTGACCAGGACTATATGACCCCCCCCTGGTGCCAAAGCTGAATCCGCCCTTGCTCAAGAGCATTCCCCAAGCGAAACATGTAGCGATAGGTTGAGAGCGTCCTCTTTAGTGCCATCTATATTGGCCAACATGCCACCACATGCACTAATTTTCAAGTGTTGTAAACACTTTATATTCACCTTCACCGATCCCACTGTTCAAGAGCACGCCCCAAGCGAACCATATAGCACTGGATAGGTTCAGAGCGTCCTCCTCAGTGCCATCTATATTCGCCAGCTTGAACCTGCCGAACGGAGAGAACCTGTCCAGCAGGTAAAGCACCAGTGCCACCACGTGTACTGAGACCATTACCAGTATCCACAGCGTGTTCGAGAACGGCTGCAAGAACGACACTAGCGTCGACGAACGTGAAGGCTGTAAAACAATTGAACATAATAATATGAGTACACATTCTAGATGACACAGCAAGGTATTTTTATGAGACAAATTAACTAAAAGAGACTTGTTCACGATCAGATATTTGGTCGCATTCTGAAGGCAGGCGATGTTAGAAGCCGCAAAAACGGCGTGGTTTTAGGAAAATATTATTATCTTTTCATGCAAAGGAAAAAACAAAAGTAGGTAAGAATTTGACTAGACGTTGTATTTAAAATGAGTGACGCACATTTATTAACTAGAAAATATAGAACTTAAATATGATTAATACTTATAAACTTGTTATAATGATAAACTACCTTCTTTTCTAATATTGTGATGCCTTGATATTTGAATGGCTTACTGAATTCAATGAATTCCGCTCGTTCTGGGTTTATTGTTAGTGGTGCCACGATCATGTCGGCGCGTTCATAAACTAATTCACCTGAAAATTACTATTTATTTATAGTATAGCCCTGGAAACTTACACACCAACAGAAAGCTCTTTTGCAAAGTATGGACCAATAATATATGATCCATTATGGGTAAGTTGGAGGTTACTCCGCCCGGCGCCTGCTCCAATTCGAGAGATATGTTCGCTCGATGCCTGCCTGACGTAGGCATCATGACGTGAATGCTTGGAGATCTGCATGATAGAATGCCCTTACACCCTCTTTTTTCAGCCCTTTGACTTCCGACTCAGAACTAAAAATATTGTTAAACTTTACATATTACTTAAATAAATAGTTCCTAGACTTTGTGATGACGATCACAGAACAGACTGTTTTGTAGAAGACATAGCCGGAACCTCTTTCTGTGTTCTGTGGCCGGAACAGTAGAATTTAAACAAAATAACCAAAGCGTGTCCCCAATAATACTTGAGTATTTATGTAGTTGTATGTATGTAGTAAGTAATTTTTTTTTACAACACACCAATTAGCCTAGCCCTAAAGTAAGCACTGTAAGGCTTGTGTTATGAGATGCTAGGGTAACGGATAGAATACATATACTGTACATATATAAGTATATTTATATAGAAATACATATTAAACATCCATGACAATGCTCGTATTCACACGAACATCTGCCCCCACCGGGATACGAATCCGGGACCTGTCGAGTCGGCGACACCATGAAACTCGGCGTACAAACCACTCGGCCACGGAGGTCGTCAAATATTAATAAATTGTTTATATTGCAACGCTGCACTTTTATATGTAGAACACTTACCTATGTTAAGATTGTGCAATTCTTACCTTATCAATACTTATAATAAATCTGTAGAGAGGTCAATTCTGTACATGAAATATATTTTCAAAATAACTATCATCTATACTTATAATAAATCTGTAGAGAGGTCAATTCTGTACATGAAATATATTTTCAAAATAACTATCAGGGGGTGATTAGTGATCGATACTGATGCCAAAAATGCAATCAGTAAAATTTTTGTCTGTCTGTCTGTCTGTGTGTATGTTCCTTATAGAAACAAAAACTACTCGACGGATTTTAACGAAACTTGGTACAATTATTCTTCATACTCCTGGGCAGGTTATAGTATACTTTTCATCACGCTACAATCAATAGGAGCAGAGTAGTGAAGGGAAATACTGGGAAAACGGGAGAAGTTACTCCTTTTTTTAAACTTCCGTTGCGTGTGCAACCTTAATGGTTAAAGTTACATAGAAATCATGTATGACGGAAATATTTAACATAAAATTGTCTAAAAAATATCCCGCAACAGCATATGTCTATCTTTTATGGTTGACTCACAATAACACGTGTAACTCCTGATAGCTTAGCAGTTCGGAGCATTCTGATTATATTTGTTTACTCTTACGTTTATAATACTCTCACTCATCCCTAATTTAAAAAAGTTAACATTATTACCTATTCAATAAAAAAAGAATCATAGAAATCGGTATATAAACACCAAACTTATACATGAAATAAGCCATCGCCCCGTCGCACGTGAATACTGAATCATACATTGTGCATTTAATATAGACCAATTTGGCTATTTAACGCATGTAATTTAAATGAATATTTTCGAAGATATTACAGATTTAAAATGCAGGGACATAGCGGTTCCGACGCTACCGGGCGGGGCACCTGGTGGCGCGTGCCTATTGTAATTAGGTATTAGAAGAATGTCATTGTGTATAATACAAGCCTGAGAACAAAAACTATAGTCTACACTACATCTCTACACCGAAGCGAAGCGCGGGCGGGCCACTAGTGTTTTAATATTTACTTAATTATTGTATTTTATTTTATTAGACAGAAATAAACTTAATCTTGAACAAAAAGGACGTTTATCTTCTCCGCATCCCTTCTAACAATCAAGATAGTTCAGGATCTTATTATTTACAAAATATATAGGTAATTATGCTATACCGATAAGTCCAGTCCACTCCTTCTTTGCTCCAGGCACGGAGAGGTTCTTTATGATATAATTTCCGAATTGTCCATCGGGCGACAGAGCCAACGAGTATGTGAAGTTGATTGCTTTCGATAGATATTTCAACAAATCCATGCAGAAGCCTTTGCAGCAGTACAGCTGATCTGGAATATCGATCATAATAAATTGATTTGCTCTTAACCTTTATCCATTTTTAGTATGAGTTGTTTTTGAATAATAAAGATTGCGTTAATATCTAGGTACATGAACACTTTATTTTTATTCTTGAATGAATCATAATGGTTTCCTTACATATTTTTCTTAGTTTGAGCACATTTTTCAAGGCTATATATTAAATCTTACCTACGGCTTCACTTGCGTTATAGCTAGCGTTGTAATGAGGACATGGAATTTCTTCGCTGGTACAGTTACTGCCTTCGTCAATACGACGAACGTAGACGAAAGGTTTCTCCTCTATCGTCAGCACCTAAACACGCAGATTTAATTTATAGAACTGTCACAAATTTTAATAAAAATACCACTGTAGTTACGAACTAGTTAGTAAATAAAATATACCTTTAAATGGGTTGGTATCATGAATCCTTCTGGTTTCGTAGGACTGCGACCCATCCATATAATTTCATTTTCCTTCAATTCTAGGCGCATCTTTTGGGTTTCCTGTAGCGAAAATAATTAAAATGTAAGTTATCCTTTCGGGGTTAATAGGCAACGATATTAAATATCGTTGTTAATAGGATACAAGGCATTGTACAATAATGATAAAATTATGGGCTCGCATTAAATTTACTTGAAAGAGACCGTATATATATCTGCGTAGGTTGGGTCAAATTTCTTGATGGAAACAATAATTTGTGATCGATAGGCTGACCACTTATCGACGCAATAAGAAGTGTTCTTTAATCCTTCAAAAATGAAACAACTTAGCAAATGTATCGTGTTCGGCAGACTTTTGGTGTTTCGGCCTTACTTTCGTTCCCAATCTGTTATTTTTCTACTTTGACGTCGAAAAAAAAACGAGCGAGCCTTACAGTAGTCGCGTATGATGTGTCACATTTGAAACCTCACCTTATATTAGAAAAAAAAACCTACTACAAAAGGAATCAGCCGTTTAAACATGCCTATGTTCTAAAATCAAATGAAATAGCGAGCGCTTTCGCGACTTCCTGTTACACACTTCCGTCCCATAGCACGAAATCGCTCCCACAAATTGCAGGAAAACGAGAGGAAAGATGTTACACATCATAAGCTTACCTGCACCCAACCTGCACCTTCTAATAATACCTATGAAGTAGGTAACATGATTTCATCGCCGTTAAAATTACGATACATTTCTTGTAACCGACTTAAGTGTAATAACCTAACTATTATTAGCTCATCCAGTTCAGTGAAAGTGGACGTAATCACCACTCACCTTCGAGTAAAAGTATTTCCCCACCGCCACATGTTCTCCCTGAGCCCTTACGTTCACCATGTCGTATTCCGCATGCACCCTGTTCAAAATTAAAATTATCATCAGCCAAATTGGCATGACGCAGCAGAATCTAATTCTTCTGAAAGATCCTGCATTTAAAATCATAAAACAACTTCTTTGATAATAATTTTACTAGAAATAATTCCTCGCGGTTTAAGCAGCAGACGGGACACGAACCCGCAGCCTCCGCTTAGCCGAGGAACGCTGCTACGAGTAGATTTTTTTCTAGTAAAATATTTAGATTTTAACAGTAAAATGTTAGCAGTTAAATGTTTAAAATAAAAATAGTTATAATAACCTTCTTTGATACTTAAGCGTATCTTTTGGAGGATTTCAATGGCACACAATAATAACTTTTCGTGCCATTGAACTGCCAGTTCGGTCTGCGATCGTGGAGTTAAGTAACGTTCGCTGATCGCCAGTATTGAATGGGTGACCAAATATTGGTTATCTCGAGCTCTTCCGTGCTTCAGAAGGCACGTTACGTTACAGCCGTTGGTCCTAGCTGCATCTGCTGTAGTTATCACCCACCAATCAGCACTGAGGTCGCGTGGTAGCCCAATATTTTCACAGAGAAGGTCTGCCCCCACTGGGAACATTAATAAACTGATGATGATGATGATTTCCCCTACCTGTCTCCATGGTCGTCGAAGGCCACGAAGCCAGTAGCTCCGTTCTCCAGCTTCTGACGCCGTATGAAGTCGAAGAGCTGCCGGCCAGTGGTCCATATTGAGCCGGAGTTGTCACAATCCGAGGGTGGGGCGCTGATCTCTTCAGTGTTGTTCATGTCACGGATGGCGGAGGCTAACACGTATCTGTGGTGTGATCAAAGAAGTCAGTGTCAGCTTGTTTTAGGGGGAAAAACGCTGAGGGAAGATCGTTACAGATTTACTGCGGTTTGTATAATAAAACATAGACCCTCACATGGAGTCTTGTATGTGTGCGTGCTCGTTAGTTGCGTTGACAAGCCTGAGGCCCAGCAGTCCCTCGGGCGCATTGGCCGCATCCAGCGCTTGCTCCGTCACCATCCAGACGTAGCCCACGGTCGTCATGTTCAGGAACGTCGCGTCCCTGAATATTATCTCCGCGTCCGTTTTGCTGGAACACGAACATATTAAAACTAACAAAGAACAAAGTGAAATTTCATAATTTGAATGTGAAGAATACATGAAGACGAGTGGTACTCGTAGTTATCCTATTGTTTAGTTAGATAAATAGCTATTTGTTAGCGTAAATCACTACTGCCTCATTACAAAATATCTTGCTTTACATCTAAAGAAAAGTGAGTGTGACCGAAAACAGACAAGTATAACCTGTCTGTGAAGACTTTGGTCTCGACAATTTTAGGTTAAACAACATACCTTGCATACATAAGGAAGACCCTCGATTGGGCGCTCTTAACTTCTGCGAGTTTATCACTGAATGAATCCAATCCTGGTTCAAATTCTATCACCTGTTCCACCACCACCTTGCGGTCAACATCGTCGTCGACGTTCTGGGAAGTTGTTTGGAACCTAAATTAAATAAATTTAGTATTACCTATAATTTTCTCTGATTCCAACAAAGTTAAGTATAGAATTTAATCACCCAGATTCGAGAAAATATAGAAAAATTATTTCATGATCAGATTTAGGGTCGCCGCACACGGGCCACACGCCACAGCCACAAACGCCGCCACAGATTCTTATCAGGAGTTTCATTGATACAAATGGAGCTCTCTGTTGCTGTTGGGTAGAAACATTAAGAGAAAGAAAGATACATCATAACTTAAGAGTGTCCTGTAACAGAAACAATTCGCAATTGGTGGTCACTTTTCCCTATGATTTCCCAGTTATTGTTATTAACCTATTGTTGTTGTTGTGTGTGATGATTTATTGAAATCTTACCTTCCTAAAATAGCGCGACCATCCGTATCCGAGCTGTGAATGACGATGACCTTCATATAATTGAAGTGCTTCAACACATCGACCCATACGTCCGCCTGGTGCGAGTACGGTGGCACAGTCCTCAGGAATGATACGTGAATGTTCTTGTCGGAGAACGCAGAGTCCCTGGATGAGATCCCGATGACAGGGATGTGGTAGAAGCCGCTCGTGTAGGAGACCGCTGCCGGCGATAAGTCACCGGTGAGCGGGTGGGATACCACTACCGCGTACACCTGATGTGAATGAAGGATTAGTAAGGGCTCGGACGATCCTTTTTTTTCATGCAAAACGCGCGGTGCGGCAACATTGCGGCGCCGGTACCGGGAACGCTCGACAACAGGACTGTTGCCACACCGCGCGTTTTGTATGAAAAAAAAGGATCTTCCGTACGCTGTACGACAAACGCACCGCTTCGGCACCGCAGCAGGCCGTCAAGAAACGCATAAATTGAAAGAGCCCTTAGATATCATAACTGTGATGTACGAGTAAGTTGTTACATCAAAATTTATCTGATAGGAGCTTCGTCTAGGGTAGTAATATGTCCACCTCACAGTGACAGATGAGAAGTAAGCAGTCAAATTCATCATCATCACCAGCCTTATTAATATCCCCACTGCTGGAGCTTCTTATTGGATAGAATATTATTACGATTGCATATGCCGTCGGGCGGAACTAACGGCTTGACGAGCAAATATTTTTTATTATTTTTGACTATGGACTATGGACCCATGGTAGGTAAGTTGTGAATATAACTTAGCTTTTAATTTGTGTAAATTTGCGTTCTTTGCTGCATCGTCTATCTTCACAGATCTTCACGTCGGGCGGAACTAACGGCTTGACGAGCAAATATTTTTTATTATTTTTGACTATGGACTATGGACCCATGGTAGGTAAGTTGTGAATATAACTTAGCTTTTAATTTGTGTAAATTTGCGTTCTTTGCTGCATCGTCTATCTTCACAGATGGATCAGATGCAATGGTGATAAAAATATTTTTTACTTTTATGAGAATCGACGTTGTTATTGTACTCACACGATGTGCGATTAGATCCTTGCAGACGTTAAGCGCCGTTTTGATTGGGTTAGTATCCATCAGGATGGAGTAGTCATGATAAGTCACACCGCGCGGTACATACTGGTCTTTGAAGTTCAAATTCTGGAAAAAATAAGGCGTTCTGATAATTTAACATTCTCAATACATACTTACAAAGCATTAAGCATTTCATAGTATAATTTAATTAAGGTCACATAAAACTACGCTGCTGCTGCGTTTTCTACTTAAAGACACAAAAAAGTTAGCGAATACTATTGAATATTATTTTAATAGTCGAAGAAGCTGATATTCTATTTTTGTTTGTAATCTTTTCTCTGGTCTTAATTGTCTGAAAGTAACTACAACCATTAATAGGGAGTGTTTGTTTGTACTATGTACAATTCCCAGTCGGATCTTCTCTTGTTTTAAATTTTTCATAATAAAAACAGGTAAGTTATAGCCAAATTTTTTTTTATGCTTTTCAACTCTGAGATAATGAAACCAAGCTCATAATATGCGTTAACTTCCGTGTCGCACACCCTCAGATACGTACCGATATAGTATCCTTGAAGAAAGCGACGGACTCGTTGCTGGACAGCACTCCGCCCACGTTGTAGTACGTGGGGTTAGTGTACCGCCGTCTATCAGGGTCTGCAGCTTCCAGAAGGCTACCGCAGCAGACCAAAAAGGCCACCGATACTGCGATAGGCCACATGGCAAGCGAGCCTAATCCACCGAGCTTCAAAACTTATTCTACAAACAGATATGAACACATAATTATAGTTTTATTTATTTAAGAACTTTTAACTTTAGCTTTTTGAGAACCCGTCAGAGACCTAATATTTTTTGAGATTAAGAGAATCGTCTACTTATCCCAATCCTAAACTCTAAGTAAGCCTATCTTCTCAACACCAAAAATCGTGTACCTAACTATCGGTGAACACACACATATTTCTTATACTTTACCTATTTCTTTGTGTGATCACAAATGTGTATCTATCTAATCCCATTCTATCTATCCCATTGGATACATCACAGGATTGTTCCTTTTATTTCTAAATTCTGCGAGCTCCTAGCACTTCATATTGTTGTTATTACGAATGTTTTGATAAGCAGAGGCAAAGACGAAGGTTCATGGTTTTTGCCCACCCGCCCGCCATAAAAAAATGGGCTATTTTTTATTGCCACATTATTAAAAAAATGCCAAAAAAATAAAAATAAAATGTTAGGGGTGAACCCTTATCACTTAGGGGTATGAAAAATAGATAGTTCTGAGACCTACTGAATATGGATATAAAATTTCATAAAAATCGGTCAAGCCATTTCGACGGAATGTGGTAAGTAACATTGTGACACGAGATTTTTATTTATAAGATTTACGCGTCACGTTGTTTGTCCGGGACCGTGTCACGGTAATTGACCGTGTCGCGTACCGATTTTATCATCATCATATTTGCACACCGTGTGCAGTTTGATCCAACTTCAAAGATACATTTCAATTTATATTCGCAATATTATTATATTGCAAATTATTACTTTTGGGCGGTACGAAGTTCGCCGAGTCAGTGAGTGTATTATTATGAATGGTTCATAGTATTTATATTGTTTTATAATAAATAACAATAAATAAATACCTATAACCGATTGAATTCCAAGCATGTTCCAGTTTTTTCACTATTAAAATTAAGTATGGCTCTGTTTACAAAAGATCACATTGCTCATAAAGGTTCTTTTCACAAATTGCAAAATACAAACTGATTTGTTCTATAAACTAAGCCTATGTTTACACTATGAACAAACTCCTACCTTTAGTTTTTGGTGGCATTAGTAATATTTTCGTTCCATTTTATAAACAGTGTCATCTGAAAACACTTTTACGTAAGAGGTGAAGATGTGGGAGGCTGCATAGCCACTATAGATGGAGCCTCATCTGCCGTTGCCTTGGTAACCGCGCAGGCGTAACAAGCAAATCAATCGCTCTAAGTTATTTTTTATTAAAATATTTTTTGTGTAAAATAGGTAAAACAAAACCTGTAATTATTAATAATTAATTAATAAAAAATATATAACTTGAGTTGTTAGTAAGTAGGTATCTTTATTGTATAAACAAATAAGTAGTACATTCTTGATAATAAAATCTCACAAAATATCTAAATTTATATTAGTTGCTGTAGTTAATTATATAGGTACCTCTAATATAATTAGGCACACTTAAAAATTAATTACATGATATATTTGTAATAAAAATAATTGAGCATTAATCCAATACGCGTCGACTTACTTCACTGACTGTATTCACTTTGCAAGGCTAAGTTTTTTCACAATTGATTAAAAATATAGCATGCCTTAAACAAACAACCGAGTTTATATTGCAAATAATACTATATATTTAATACATTACTTAAAAAATCTACACTAAATTGCTAGATATATTTTTTAGCTTTTATTTCATTCATCATTGAGTAAAAAATAAAGTACCTAATTATTTAAGTCTTATTAAACTTTACACAAGATACAACATTATAGAATCATACAGTCGCAGTCGCGTATTAAACATGCATACAAAGATCTCTCATAATCATTACTTTATGAATAGTAGTAAATTACAAACATAACTCACAACAAGGAAAAAACAATTTTTGATAACATCGCATTAACACAGAAAGACATTATAATACGTGATTTGATTACATAAGAGCGGTAAGAATATAGCAATTTGTGAAACCTTCAGCACTATAATATGTGAAACCTTCAGCACTATGATTGCCAATCTTTCCTCCTTACTTGAATTTTTGCCTCATGTGAACTGCGCTTTAGATATTTTTTTAAATTATATTTCTACTTTGTCTTTCAATAAAATTGTAAAATTACTGAATAAATTTCATACACAAAATTATAAATTTAATTCAGATTCATAAAATAACAGATTCTCATTAAATATAAAAACTTAAATTGGATATACATTTTACCTTATTAAGATTACTATTAGATAAAAAAAATCCTGAATACATAGAGGTTCCAGACTACATCTAGGATAAAAAGTCAGTTTCAAGTGACAAAAAAAGTGGATTCTAAATTTTGTCACGTTTGCGACTGCGAAAGATGAACCACTTTAATTTATCATTGTTTAGTTTAAGACCAGGCCCACGGCCCTGAGGAAGGGAGCCACCCTTGCGACTGGAACTTGGGCCACGCGGGCGTGAGCGCGGCGGCGGCGGCGGTGGCGGCATGATGAGCGGCCCCCGCGGCACCTGCCGCCCCCGAGCTCTGTAGCACGGATAGCTTCAGGGACTCTATGTCTGAAGCGAGAAGAAATGCTAGAGTAAACCTTCTGCACCGATGAGATTGGCTATTAATCATGTGGGTTTCTGGGATTTTATGTCTCAAGCGAGAAAATTATAAAGTAAACCTTCTGCATTTCTGAGATTGTCCATTAATTATGTGGGCTTCGGGATTCTATGTCTGAGGCGAGAAAAAATGCTGCAGTAAACCATTGGCATTGGCATCATGTGGTGTAAGGAACTCGATGGCGTAAGTGGTGCGTTAAGGAGGGTATGTTTGAGTACTTATCTAGGTACATATTCTGCACCTCTATGATCACGTGAGGAGCACGATGCCGGAAGTGGTAAGCGCGTTCGGCTGCGATGGTTGAAGTCATCGTTGAAGCAACTTTCTCAGTGGTCGGTCATTGGATGGGTTACAAAAGATTTACTATCTCGAGCTTCTACGTGCTTCGGAAGGCACGTCAAGCCGTTGGTCCTGGCTGCATCTGCAGTCGTTAGTACCCACCAATTTGCACTGGGCCCGCGTCGTATGTCATGCATAGGGAAGGCCTATGCTCCAGCAGTAAGAACATTAATAGGCAAATGATCAGAGGCTTAGGCTTGAAAGGAGAGGGAATATCACGAAATATCACAAGTGTGACTGACCTGTGGGTGATATAAGATGTTGCATTATGGTTAACAACCATCACGTGTATTTTAATTTCTATGAACGTGCGATTCCTAAACTGAAAAGCACATGACCTTGACTCTTGATAAGTAAGTTACGAGTATTCTATTTTTAAGACTTTCACGTATTTTGGGTTGAGGGCGAAAACCTCACCACACAACGTAGGTATTAAAATCACCCACCAGCAGGGAATCAAGGAGGCGCTAAAACCTCATTAAGATAGTTACTTAATTGATCCACTACACAAGACTACTACTAACACCAAGAGGTGTCAAATCATTCGTCTATTAAAAAAATCACCAGCGTTTTGCAGTCTGATCTGGCAGCCTGTGAATAAGCAGTGCTCTGTTAATAGCTTATGCTTCGGGCGATTTTTACCACATAATATCATGCTAGATGGAGTCTTTTGCCTTTCTTTTTACAGTCTAGCAGCCTGTGAATGGGCATCTCTTTGCTGCGGTGGCTTTCCTGGAGCCGCGTTTTTTAATATCATGCTGGATGAATTACGAACCTTGCTTTTGAAAATATCAACTCACCAGCGTTTTGCAGTCTAGCCGCCTGAGAATGGGCAGCCCTCTGAAGAGCCTTGGCAGCGGCCGCTTCTCTGGCGGCGGCGATCTTCTGGGCCACAGCCGCGCGCGCCTTGGCTGTAGCGAGTTGCGTCTGCGCCTGTACCGCCGCTTGGGCCGCCTCGAGGGCGTGCGCTCGTGCGTGGCGGGCCGCTTCCTCGCTAGTTAATAATTACAATCTAAGTTAAAGTCACTATGATTTTATTTATTTTTTAAGCATTTAACTGCTAGATGTTTAAATCTACCTGTGGGTTACCTACAATGCGAAGAAATGGCGCTGCCTTGCAGCTTAAGGCTAGGAAAATTTCGACGCGGCTAATAGGGCCGTGGTAGCATAATGGTCAGTGCATTCGCCCGGATAGCAAAGGATGCGGGTTCGAGTCCCGTCCGCTGCCTGGTCCGCGTGGATTTTTTTCTAGTAAACTTTTCTTTAGATTTAAAGTCACTATTTTGAATTACATAAAACATACAAATTTGGTTTCTTACTAGGTGTAAAGATTTTTTTTGCTGTGGAAAAGATCGAGCACAATCAACAACTGTGACGTTGGTCATCATCGTCATTGTTATTAGAGTAAGGGCAGTAAAATATGCCATCTTTGGCGGCTAGAACCTAATCGGCAATCCTACCAAATCTACCTCTAAACCATGGAGCCCTGGGATCTTACTCACCGACAGAAAACAACACGACAGTATGTACCTCCCTAGTGTTTTTTAATTTGGTCTTCTGTAAGTTAAGTACATTGTCAGACGGGCAGGTTCGTAATCTAGCGAAAAGTCCGCTATGCCCTACCTGCATCCTAAAAGTAGTGCCTTTATTACTTTGATGTTAAGGTCGCCGCACACGGGCCACCGGCCACAACCACAAAACGCGCCGCCACCAGCATATTTCCCGTAGTGTTCATAGATTTGATATGGACTCGCCGCACACGGTTAACGCCGGTGGCCGCCACACGCTACTAATCGTCGTTGCTCGCTTCTTGTGGCCCGCACCGGCCACTAATACGCCGATACAAAACGCCGCCACACGCCACTCGCGCGATTCCCCACCTTCAAACCCTCTTCGTCAGAGTCCATTATAATACTGCACGCATGTGTTAAAAATAGTAGCAGCCATCGACGGCAAGTGTCGACCACCGACCACAAGTGGCTGTCGCGCGCTTCAGCTATCTTTGTAGCCGCTTCTAGCTTCACGTGGCGGCGTTTGTGGCTGTCGCGTGTGGCCCGTGTGCGGCGACACTCATATGAGATGGCTGGCTTGGCTATTTCTACAGACGGGTGCTTTAATTATAGCGAATAATCCGTTTTACCGGCGTAATTTATAATGTCTCTTTATATGTTTAAGTACCTCCTTTGAGCAGCTAAGACTGCCGCGATCTCCTTGGCACTCGCGATGCTCTTTTGCTCTATGGCGGTTGGTGCTGAGCTTTTATGATACTATGACCTATGGTTCATTTATAAGGTGCGGTGGCTTCTCCAGACAGCTATGTCCTAGATTTTTTTAATGTTTACGTACCTCCTTTGGGCGGCATGAGCTGCCGCTATCTCCTTGGCACTGGCGATGTTCTGTTGCTCAATGGCGGCATGCTTGGCTGCAGCCACTTGGTGCTGGGCTGCCATCACCGCTGCTGCGGCCGCCTTGGCTGCAGCCACTGCGCCGGCTACATCTGAGCCCGTATCTGATGCTTGCACATTAATGTTATGTTTTTGAAATAATCCGAGAGAAACTTTCTTTACAAACAAAAAAATGATTTGGTAAATTGCGGAACTCATCCGTTATTGGAAGTCGTTGACAAATTAATACAAGCTAAGTTTAAACCTAATTGCTTGATTTTCTCAGTATTTCCTCCCGCCTCCGAGGTGGTGTGGTTTGTACACCAGGTTTATAAGTTTCGTCTGCGATTCAAATTCCGGTGGGGCAAATCAATGATGAATACGAGCATTCGCCCTAAGCCATGACTGTTTCTATAGATTTCTATAAAAAAGTAAACTTTTCTGTGTGTTCTGATTTTAAGTTTATAGACATTAAGTAGTTTTAAGCTTGCAAGCTTGTAATTTAGATATTTATATGTAAATACTAGCTGACCCAGCGAACTTCGTACCGCCATAAAAAGGGGCTGGTGGTAGAAGGGTAAAAAATAGGGTAGTATGTATTTTTTCACCCCAAATCACTTAGGGGTATGAAAAATAGGCTCAGACCTATTGATATGCATATAAAATTTCATAAAAATCGGTCAAGCCGTTTCGGAGGAGTATGGTAACTAACATTTTACACGAGAATTTTATATATAAGATAAAAATAAAAAATAATAATAAAAGAAATTTACTTTTCTTTGTATTTCTATCCGTTAAACTATAGTATCCATTTGACAAGCCTTACAGTGCTTACTCTGTGGCTGGGATAATTGGAGTGGGTGTAAGATTTGTTTTTTAATCTTTACGAAAGTTTTTTAAACTTATAGTTTTATGTTCCAGCTGTTCGAATTTAATTTCATCTAATCTTTCAGTTTTAAGTTCTAGCCGTCCGAAGTTACTGAACCTATCAAATTTATCATTATTTTAGTGTCATTACCTCCGTGCCCGTGGATGTACGGTACAGGATTAGGTGCCCAACCAGGCAGGCTGTTCCAACCGGGAAGACCGCTCCAACCTTCCAGGCTCCGTTTGTCTGTTTTACTGTTGCTGCTGCCTAGAGCCACAGCAACGAAAGCCAATACAATCTGTGAAAAACAAAAGAAGATCTATCTTTATGGCTTATCACCCATTCTCCTGATTTTTTGATGGAAGAGGGCGAATGCGCCATGAAAAATCCTACTGTTTGTGATAATGGTGGCCTTAGTTTTTTTGCGTGACATGGGATGAAAATAAATAGAATATAATAGGTATATGATTTTACCCTAATATTTCATTAGTTACCTATTATGTATTTTTATGCAACACATATCGTATCGTATCCTCATTAAGAATCTAACTTATGGCCGCGTTTAGAGACGTTAATTACTTCTTTTAGTTTTATTTAATGTCTGTCACTTTCTTTGGAATTTAAATGGTTAAGACAACACGTCTAACACCTGACTTAATGAAGCGTTTAATTAAATTGCTTGCCTCAGTAAGATATTTAATACTGATCACCAATAAAATTGCACCACTAGAACTGTTTTTTTAAAGTAGGATGACGGGCTCCTACGAAGGGATCCGTAGCATTACAGCATGATTATTTTTTAAATTTATGATAATATTGTTTTTTGTAATAGTCTGTGCAGGGGTCTTGTGTTGCGATATGTCATCTTCACTCAACTCACCAATACTTTGAGAGCCATTTTCTTAGTCAATGTTGTTGGTTCTTCGCTGTCAACTGGTTGTATGATGCTCCAGTGGGAGCGAGTGGTGTTTATATATGGCCTGTCAAACACGGAAAATATTGTAGAAAGGGGAACGCCCTGATAAGCAAAATGTGTACAACCTTCTTCCTATCACTTAAAACTTAAGATCACTATTACTTTCATCCGAGCCATTGGTTTTATTAGACAATAGATGTGCCATTTTGAGATCTATATCGCTGGAGTTAGTATTAGATTAGCTTTTGTTTTATAAAAGGTAGGTTTATAATAACAAAAAATATTTTGACATCATCATCAAAGCATTGTTTATCTTTAATTGGGTTAGTATTGCACAATTTCTTATAAGTAATAGGCTTTATCTTTGGATTTCGATTGTTTTGTACGTAACTTCTAAGACTATATAGATCCTATCACGGACTATCGAGATTAGGTACACAATCTCTTCCGTAGTTAGTTCAAATTAAATATAAGTAAGTATCTAAATAATATTGATGATAAATTAAACCAAGTAGCTTCTGCCTCGTCAGTCATCCTAACTTTAAAGCACCTACGCAGTGGAATCCAGTTTTGAAGGAAGTTGAAGCAGAATTCTTACGTGCAGGTCATGGTAGAACTAAGATAATCAACGCGTATGATCGACGGTTACAATAAAATTAAAAGGTTCATAAATCTAAAGAAAATTTTACTAGAAAAAAATCCACGCGGACCAGGCAGCAGACGGGACTCGAACCCGCACCCTTCGCTATCCGGGCGAATGCACTGACCATTATGCTTTCGCAGCCCTGACGGCCGTGTAGTATATGAACATCAAATAAATACAGCTGCTGCTTATGACACCACAAAAACAAAAATCGAAGAACCGCCTGCTGATAGGCTGTTGGAAGGACAGTTAGATTTTTTTGGGGAGCGGATATGAAATCCTTAAAGATACCCTACAGCTGGCTACAGAGTTATTGCAGACTCTTACTTATTAAAACACACCAGTGGGGGGATGCCACTGGCCATCATGCGAGCATCCCCTGAGAAGGGGATGTTGCGGTACATACAGATAGTGGAGGCTTAGTATTAGGGATCCGTTGTGTATAGGTACAGAAGAACTAAAATGTAAAATACAATTTTTAAACGTAGCGCAATTCTAAATCTAGTTAAGCTACTAACTAGCTGTTTCCCGCGACTGCTGTGCGTTCCAGTTTTATTCTCGTGACCAAAAGTAACTCAGATTAGTAGTTACAGAACATTATGTACCCTGAGAAAAGTAGCATCATAAAGTCCAACGTTTCATAGCAAACCAAAATGGATTCTGTGGCTTCAGGACTGAAAATGTCACATACGAACTGAGTTACTTTCGTGGGTACTACTATTTGACTTTATCTAATCGGAGTACCGTGGAATGGAATGGAACTAGTTATGGATTTAATAAAAATAACTTTGATTCTATCGTTCTCTGTATCTTCAATATAAATATATAAATAAATAAAAAGAAATCGTTGATGTATGTACGCGTATAACTTCCGAATGATTGCACGATATTGGATAACTCTTTTTATTTATTTGTTCTTTATTGGTTTGCATATTATTTTTCTAACCTTAAAAAAATATGGCGGTATACAAGATCGCAGTGTCAGCTAAAGAGAGGAGAGATTTCACGTAACATAAATAAATGTCTTTCGCGCTCGAATATTGTTTTTCCTATATTCTACCCCTTTGTAAGACCACTCTACACCATGCTAATCAGCAGATGAATATTTTTTCCGCCCTCAGAAACTTTACATGAACCTGTACCTCATATTCAAAAGACTGGCGATTTGGACGAGACCAAAAGTCGTGCCCGTTTGTTGAAAATTCATTCGTAATAAATAAACAATGACACAGTACACCGGCAAATCCTGCATACATGTATCGTTTGTTTGCCCAATTCGACAGAGGGGAAAGCTGTGTATGCCTACACAACTATGACCTAAAAAGTAAGTATATTTATCTGGAAATACAAAAAAAAACAATTACTTAGGTACAAATACTTGTATTCATCTTACAAACATTTGCCTCACTAGGATTCGAACCCGGGATCTATGAGTGCGTAGGCGACACCGACACCTTGAACCCGGTCTAGGGACGTAGGTTACATATCGATCGAGTCAAGGTCACAAATCGTTCGTATTGAATAATCGATAATATTTTTTTTATTGACATTTATTGCTTGACATGTAATATATTAAAATACTAGATTTTAAGTATACACTGGTCTGGCACGATTCTCTATATCTAAACTTAAATTTGACAACAGTGTATCCTTGTCATTCTCTATACAGAATGAAAAGGAGAGACTAATGTTAAATTTAGTTTTAAGTTTAGAGAATCACGCCAGAATCGACATCACTAGCAATTTGTACAAATAATTTAGTCATGAAATTTTTCTGGACACAATGGTTTGGTCTAACTTTGAACGCGCAATCAGACTATTTAGACGCAACGCAACAGGACACCACGTGTTGACGTTATGTGCACTGCACACATTATCAACGTGCGATACCACGAGTCCACGACAAACAAGAAATTTTGCAGAGATGAGACATTTTAAAAATAAAAGTTTTTGAAATGCAAAATAGGAAATAGAAAATACCAGTTTTCATTTTGTATTTGAATGCTTTTTTTAGAAAAGCTGTACAAACGTATGAAGACGCCAATGTAATTCACATTATAAAATTATAAAAGCCAAAGTAGAAAGCATTCTCCTTCATGAAGAAGACATTCAACGAATAAGTTTGGATAGGTCCGAAGAACCATCTGTGTAATAAAGTCGCCACGTAGTTGCTACTATTGAACTATCTTTGCGTCAGGCAGGACGGATCGATCGACAGTCCTTACGTTGTTATTCCGGCACTTCACTTGGCAATTTGTAAACTTGACATCAGTCTGACCTTTTCATTCTTTATATGTTATGATAAGGTCAGAATTTTCAGGTTTACTTATAGCAAATACGAATAGCCAAGTGAGGCGCCGACATTATATAAATGTCCAGCTTATAGTATCAAATCGATGAAAGTCTCATCATTATTTTCTAGCTTAGATGTAAAAGGGATCGCAGCAGGCGTTAAACTTACTATTGACGATATAGTCTAACTTGAATCTAAAATAATAATATTAATATAATTATTGAATTCCATCGATTATTCCTCCATAATAATCAGATCGTGTTTCATTACATCACACAGTCCGGCCGCGCGCCGGGCGGCATCCCTTCAAATGTCATAAATTGACAATGTCTTCTGTCACTTTGTCAGCGCCCGTCAGTCCGGTCTTCAGGCTGTCAGGCTGACTGGGGTTATTGATTGTAAATTCAATAATCCTGTTTTATTTTATATCTTTAGATCTAAATTAAATAATGTGCTACTTCTAATTACATCTAACACATTGAATATAGTTTCACCAGTTAGGGTAAGTATTTTACTTATATATGTACACATTTGTTTTATTGAAAAATAAAATAAATGTTCGATTACGTAAAAAAATATTGTTTTATGATTTTTTCTTTCGTTTCAGTTTTTGTATAAGCCAGTCATAATGTCCTTAAACGATTTTTACGAATAAACAGAACAAACAATAACCTTATACATAGTCCAGAAAATCTAACTTTTTGTGAATTATAAAGACTATATACATCATCAGTTTTACGTTTTGCATTTTACTAAAGACTTCGGAACACGTTTAAAATGTATAAGTACTTACATATAATTTTTACTGGAGGTATATTTTATTAACGACAATTTTTGTTGTTGTTACAGACATAAAAATCTTAAAAATGGCAAATAAGACTGAACCTAAGAAACCTGAACCAAAATTTGAGTAAGTAATACAAATTTACCATTATTTTTTGTTGCCACGCCTCATATTTATTATATTTCCTTAAAAATATAGACTTCTCTAAGAAACCACAAAATAATCCAATTCACTATGTTTAATTTTACTATCATGTTATTTAAATATTATGCATGTTTCTTGTTTAATTTTTATTATTAATTTATTAGTCTACATAAATTATGAAACTTATTTATGTTTTAAATTTGTTAAAATTGAATAAATGTAACTCTAAAACTATTCTTCACTTGTACTTTCAAAAGAAAGACTTACAAAGTATGCACTGTAATTTTTAATTAGTTAAATGTATGTAAGCAAAAGCATGTTTTGTTTTCTTTCCTTTCATCACCTTGAAATTACTGATTAATTAATTGCCGTTATCAGAAAGAATATTTATAGAAGAACACAGAAAACTAAATAGATAATCCAATAATTTATTTACTGTATAAAATAAATGAGTATGCTAGCAATGTAACCGACTAACCATTCATGGACATCTATTACATTTGACCTTAATTTAACGGCATACTATTTAAATTACTTTATTTTAATGCATTGTGGTTGAGAGATGTGTTACTGTGATGAAAACTATATATTAAGTATTTATAGAATGTGATTTATGAATGAAAAGGATCTCCTGAGATTGACAAAGATGGATTTCACTTTGAACTTTGTACCACATCACAAGACAACAGAATTGAATTAGAATTTATCACCTATTTAAAAACTGTTGTTTAACAATCTAGTTTTTTGTAAGCATGTCTGATAAAGCCAGCATGTACCATTTTTTACATGAAACCTGTGTTGCAGCAACATGTTAAAAACATTGTAACTGAGATGCAGGCCACTTGACTAATGACTTTAACTGTCAGAATAATACAAAGATAACCTGAGCTTCTTTGCAGACTTCTACCAAAGATTGTAAATGGAGGCATCGCCGGCATCGTTGGTGTCTCTGTTGTATTTCCTCTGGATCTGGTCAAGACCCGATTGCAGAATCAGACCATCGGACCAAAGGGAGAGAAGCAATACAAGAGCATGTATGTACTTTTAGCATTTTGGAAATTCATTCTGTCAGTTCTGAATCGCGCTTGCTATGTGATTACTTCCACTGAGTATATCTACAAGTTCCAATGGTGAACCAGTGCCTGAGCACAAACACATACCTTAGACTTCAGACATTGTAGGTCCCTTTTAGTCGCAACAGTGCATAGAATTGGAGAAAGTATTGATTGACACTAGCATGAAATTGACAACTCTCTAAAAAGAGAGAACCAATAGACATTATATAGCATTATAAAGCATTAATTGTTTCAGGTATCTCAACTACCCCATATTTTAATTTCTCTTTTGGGGGCGTCCATAAATTACGTGAGATGTTTAAGGGGGGAGGGGTCAAATCTCATCTAATCTTACGTTGGAGAGAGAATGGGGTCGGCAAATATCACGCAATATTTTTTTCTGATTGAACCAAAAAAAATATACTATTTTGCTCCATTTAGTCCAGATTGTACATGCTTAAGATTTAAACTCAGCAATATTGATTACTAGTCTTAAATAGGTAGTCGTAAATAAAAGTACGAAGAAATTTTTTTTTTCTTTTTACAATAACAATCCAACGCGTTTACCTAAGAAACCCACATTATGAAAAATCTCATGTGAGATTGGGGGATGGGGTAGGGGGTTGTATAAAATCTCACGACATCTCACCAGGGGGGGAGGGAGGAACAGAAAATTCAAAAAAACACCTCACGCAATTTATGGACGCCCCCTTTTGCACTGTTCGTTTTCTGTTACTTCTCGTTCTTGTACCTGCACTATGCCCTGATACCTGATAGGTAGAGTAAATAGATCATATTCAAAAATATACCCCAAGGCATAAAAAGGACACTCCCATGCCCATGCATAAGTCATTGGCTAAATCTTTAAGAAGTCACCAAAGAAGGAATTGAATTGAACAGACATAACCTGTGATCTGCTCAATCACAGCCTGTCATGTCTACTTTCTTCTATTTTACTTTACAGGATCTGCTCAGTCCCTTCTTTTATCTATGAATAAAGCTGCTAGGAACCTACTGAAGTATGCAGGTACAGATATCATCATTCATTATGTTTAAGTTAATTCTTTTGCGCAGGCTCGACTGTTTCAAGAAGACTTACGCGGCGGAAGGATACTTTGGCATGTACCGCGGCTCTGCTGTCAACATCCTGCTGATCACTCCGGAGAAGGCGATCAAATTGGCGGCCAATGACTTCTTCCGGCACCATCTCACGATGCGTGATGGGTAAGATTATATGTAAGACAACAAAGTAGGTAGTAAATAAAAATATGTATTATTGTCCGGTGAAGCTTACTCGAGAGGTCCTGGTGTTACCCTAGTATCCCAAAACACAAGCCTTATAGTGCTTACTTTGGGGCTAGGTTAATTGGTATGAGTGTTGGATTTTTATTTAATTTTTTTTAAAGTTTAGACTAAAGGGCCCGCGAGACGGTCAAATGGTTTTAAATCTAACTGTGTTTGATGAAATCGTTTGACGTCTGTTTGAACGGTTGTCAAACGCCACTGCGCAGCTTGGTTTGGTACGCCGCCATCATTAGACTTGTGTTTGTGACGCAGACAATATGTATTTCTCGTATTTATTACGTTTTTTCCTTCGTTTTTATACAAAAATATCAAACACCGCCGCGTTAAACAGATTCAAAGCATGAAATTTTATCAAACAAGCTTCATACACGTAAATGTTAAACAATCAAAATGGTTCGAGTCAAACCAAAATTTACCCACGTGTTTGAATCAAACCATTGAACCGCGGTTAAAAAACAAGTTTCCCGTTCCATGTTTCAGACTCCAAAGTGAGGAGGTTAATATCTGGGTTGTAGTATTGCACTGTTTAATAAAGTTCCCGAAGATCTGATGGAGCTTCCTCTGACAAATTTAAATCTCAGATGAAGAATACTCCTCTTTTAAAAAAGCTATTATAAAGTTGATGATTATCTTGATGATAGTAATGCATGGACGGACATAGTCTTTCTTGTAATTTGTAAACGGGTAGGTATAACTCATTTTTAGTAAAAATATTGTTGTATTAGGAGCCGCTTTCTATATACTAAAAATCTAAAGCTCACTGTGGTAACACTTATTGTATATATCTCTATTCTAATTATGTAATGGAAGGTAACTTCAAAATTACCTCTTAAGTCATTTTTCAACTTGACGACTCTGTATATAATAATACAGGGAGAAAAACAGCCCTTGCTGAGTTTCTTGCCGGTTCAGCGTAGGAAAAGGTCTCCCGCCGTAGATTTGCGAGCATTTCGACCTCCACAAGTGCTTGTACCCGCCTAGACTGAATAAATGATTGAAAATTTTGATTGTCTCTGGGGCCCTTTATAAACATAATGGAGGAACTTGGTGGAGCAGTGGTTAGAGCTATTTTGATGCAAATTTGCCTGTTGTCCTTATTATCCGGAAAGGCCTATTCCTGTGCCCCAGCACATTGGTATATTGCTCACATAGCTGGTGATGATGAAGATCACGAGACCCAATGCGAAAGTTTTTTTTTAAATACATATAAATTTACTATTTTAGGCAAAACTATAATATCTAGATGTGATGAGGGTTATCTAACATTGTCCTGTATTAGAGATATTTTATCTGATAAATCAATAAGAACTATTTCGAAGGCAATGTTATGAATAGATGAAATAATGCGTAATAAATATCTTCTTCTCTATCTCTCAATTAATAAAACTGGCAAACCGTTGTTGGAAAGGTTTCGTATCTTTGGTAAAAAATTTTAGCACTTCAGGAACAATAAATAAATATATTTCCCACACTCACACCAATTAGCCTAGCCCCAAAGTAATGGACTTGTGTAGTGGAATGCTAAGATAATGGATAAAATACATATACGTTTACATAAGTATATTTTTTTTATCTAGAAATTAATATAAACATCCATGGCTAAGGTACAAATGATCGTATCCATCATACTAACATTTGCCCCCGGTGGGTTTCAAACCTGGGACCTCTGAGTAGGCGACATACCACTTGTCCACGGTGGTCGTCACAATGATTGTTAATTGAATCTGTTGTTGCTATGTTATGAAAAAATAATATTTCGCATACCTACAGAAGACTGAGGCATTAGGGTCAGCTTACACCTAGCATAGACGTGATGCGAAAGCGATACGAAAGAAATCCCTATTCGGTACACAAAAAGACACATTCACATGTGCGCCGTAGCTCGTCGCTGCAGAAATGAAATGTGAAATATTTCTTTCCCTTTTTATTTTAGAGAGAGGATTTCGTGAGATTTTCAAAAGAAAAATTAAGGAGTTTGTTCTTCGCTCCGGCAAAGCATAGTAATGCCACAATACCTCCCGTCCTGATAATGGGCCTAACACAGAACCCACGATGACCACATGAGTTCATATATAACTTTTTAGTTTACTTCCAATTTTATTTAAATGTTCACTGCATAGTTTTTGCGTAGCGCTTGTTGATAAACCGAGTAATATCCATACTTTATATAAATTTTTATAGTAAGAAATTTAACTTGTAACATTGCCATTATCAACTTAATTTAAACTCAAGTTTTGGGTCTATTCTGTGTAAACAGAATAATACAGAAAATATCTTAAAAGTTATATTTAAGAAATAAATGGATGTAAACAATTGATGTGTTGACAATTTTATTTCAATCTGAAATCGTTTGCTACTGTGTGCATGGCGCCTTCTATATAAGTTTTGCACACAGTACTCCAGGCACGGTCTATCAACACCCGCTCCCTTATTCATGCGCTCCATCACCTAGCCGACTGTTGCTTAATGAGCTGTAGCCCAGAAAACCTATTACAGTGGCCTTTGTGTGCAGCAAATAGAGTAATATTTTGTATCGTTATACGAAACGGTGCGTGCCGTGTCGCATGTCGGTGTGTACTAACCCTTACACGTTATTCAGTATAATAATGCCCCAGCTGTGTACCACTGTTTATTTCTATTGTACGCCAGGGAATGCCTATGTGAGTAAAGTATGTCATTGTCAACTAATTTAAGTGCCCGTAATATGGATTCTCTAATTTGGCACATGACCAATTCGGTAGATGGACTCAATGTATAGTAAACAATTTGTTCTATGTGTTAGTACAGACAGCACTATATCGAGTTAGCCAACACTGTACATTTTCTCGGAACGACTTTGAGCTATATTTTATATTATGTAAGATTCACAGTCTATTTGTTGCTTAGGTTTACACGCACACCACTCATTAAATAAAATTATTACTATTAAATTAACTACTACTTCTATTGAAAAATAAAAATTTAATAAATTGATGTGTAGCTAGCTGTCTGGACATACGATTTATCATTCGCTTCTAAGTATGCAGTTTTTATTTTTGAGGATGTGGTTAATAGAAATTGGTCAAAGCGAAATTCCCGCTCTAATCGGAACACCCATCTGGGAGTAGTAAGTTACTTCCATCTTGCAAAAAACCTCAGTGGGTGTGTGATTAACAATACCCTTTGGTTGAAAGTTTTGATCATAGAGGCTTTTCTGGACAGAATGCGCTTTAACTAAAATCTTAACAGCCTGCAGTTCTGCTTCTGGTGCTGTTGTGTTTGTAAGGTTTTCAGGATCCTACGGGGTGGGGAATAGGGCAAGGGCGCTTGTTGACGACCGGTTTTCCGCTGGGTTTAAGAACGGTTTCTACCAGTGGCGGTGGAGGTGGTTTCTACATTTGTACCGATCGCAAACCGTCGTGCCAGCGCCGGTGTCGTTAACAAACCATACTTAACTGACGACCGGACGTAGACAAGATTTAAAACCGTGTCAAAACCGAGTAGAAATCTTCTTCTTTATTCTAGTAATATTTTCTTTAGATTTAAAAATCGAGCAGTTGCATGCTTAAAAAATTTAAATTATAACTATAATTGCTATTTCTTCTTTCAAATGATTAATACTTGTAAAAGTATTCATTTGACATTGTGGGTTACCTATAATGCGAAGAGATGGCGCTGCCTTGCAGCTTAAGAGAGGCTAGAAATAATTCTACATTCGACCGCGGTAGCATAATTGGTCAGTGCATTCGCCCGGAGCAATATTTTCTTTAGAAATCTTCTCGTTAACAAGCGCCCTTCAGAAGCAACGCGGGAGTGGTTAATCTAGTATCGCAAGCGTCTATAAGCTATAGTAGACGCTTACCCCAGGCAGGCCACATAGAAAGAGAGAAAAAAGCATTTATTGATGACTTATATTAATTAACACAATTACAATAAACACACATCGAACATGAGACAAAAGGTACATCGACAACTAAGCCCCACCTCAGCATAATGTTGCAACGACAAATGTATTGCCGCTGCAACGCTGATATTCTGGAGGGACCTAATTTGGACATCAACGGACGGAGATACAAGACAATTATTTCAAAAATAATTGTTTCAAAAAATAATTATTTCAAAATAAAAAAAATAAAAGAAGTTATTAATATAATAATATTACAACAAAACAGTGTAGGACGTCCTCAGGCATGGTGGAGTGACGATTTGCGCAAGGTGGCTGGCAGGAGCTGGATACGATTAGCCCAAGATCGATCTCATTGGCGTGCAATTGGAGAACCTTATGTCAATGGACTAAGATAGGCTGTTGATGATGATGATGATGATAACAAAATAAAAACAATTGTGATATGGTTTGGGTGCCTTACATAACAAAACTAAATAAAAGTGCTCCCGGAACCAGGATAATTAGGATAAAGTATTTCTTGTCTTGGATTCGATTGGCTTAATAGGGTACTGTCAACGGAATAGGCTAAGTTCTCAATATCATCGGATTTCTTTGTTCCAGGTCACTGCCAGCTATCCGCCAGATGTTGGCAGGTGGTCTTGCGGGCGCCTGCCAGATCATCATCACTACGCCCATGGAACTCCTCAAGATCCAAATGCAAGACGCGGGGAGAGTCGCGGCGCAAGCTAAAGCAGGTAGACGAATGAACTATGCAATTTTCGTTTTTTGCAGTTTGTAATCTAATCAGCACATCTCTTTACTACAATTTATGTTAATTCTTCAGTGTATTTTGAACCTACTTCCGAGGGACTTCAGATTTAATATCGATTTAGGAAATTGTACGGCTCTATTTTGTACAGTTGATTCACATTCCCAAACATTTCCATATTATGATTTAATACTAACTATGCTATAGCATAGTTAAGTTTTAGTTTCTTAGACCGTGAACAATGTGCACGATTGCAAGCATACGTGTGTTCGTTCTGAATGTTCCTGAGATAAATAAGGAACTTTCGTAAAAGCGGTTGTCCGAGTAAATTGATTGTTTGTAACTTTTGCTATGTGTGTGTTTTGCATAAAATGATTGACAAAAAATTTTATATGGATCTCCTCCATGTTTCGGATTCCACGTAAAGCTATGGGTTCCGTGTGCAGTTGTTAACATCCACCAAACCGCACTGGACATCATCCTGAGTGAAGGCCTGTGGCCCAGCAGTGGGGACATTGTCTTGTTAATGCTGAGAACTTCGATGCTGTAATGAAACGAATTCGCTCTGTCTGTGTGGTCAGCTGATTCAACTACATGTTAAAAACACGCCAAGTCGTCGTTGGTCCTATCCATTACCATAGAGAATGGACTGAACGACACTCGCATGAAAATGACAAATCTCTAGAAGGAACGCAAGGATGGTGCTGTCAAGACCTCTAAGAACTATTGACCGGATCGCTTTATCTCTCTTACACTTATCTGCCTTAGAGTGGCCATAGATGGACTGCTCGAGCAGATAGAGCCAACAGCTTGAAGCTGATATTGATAATACTCCAGCAGTTCATACCAACTTTCATTAAAAACAAGGTACATGGTAACAATCCCGTTAATAGCTATAATTCTTACCAACAGCTTGAGCGATCCATGTATGTGTGTCGTAGAAGACTGTAGTTCTCTATGCAGTTACAGCTTGAAGCAATCCATCCTGACTGCTTCATGCTGCCCGTGTATGGCGGGTGGCTCTTACATATATTTCCCTAGATTCAGAGTGTTAACTTATCAATAGAAGTCCTCCCAGTTTATTTCTAATAGGTAAAGATTTAGCCCAGCTTTAGATTACCTATTTCAGAGGGTAGAACCATACCCCGCGTGACGGCCATGGAGTTGACCAGGAAGCTCATGAAGGAGCGCGGCATATTCGGGCTGTATAAGGGCGTGACGGCGACCGCAGGCCGGGACGTGCCCTTCAGCGTGATATACTTCCCGATGTTCGGCACGCTCAACAATATGGGGCCCAGGGAGCCAGGACAGGCGAACCCGCCATTTTGGTAAGTAACAGTGAATCATTTGTCCCGACAGTTTACGAAGTCCTATTTCAGAATACAGCCTGATGTTTGACACCCTCAATGATAAGGGGCCTAAGGAGCCAGGACAGGCAAACCCGCTATTTTGGTAAGTAACAGTGAATCATTTGTCCCGACAGTTTACGAAGTCCTATTTCAGAATACTGCCTGATGTTTGGCACCCTCAATGACCCTCAAGGGTCCAGGGAGCCGGGACAGATGGACCCACCGTTTTGGTGAGAAACAATAAATGATTTAGGCCAGCAGCTGATGCAGATCTATTTCAAATACTGCCTGATCTTCGGCACCTTCAATGACATGGTAGGGAGCCGTGACAGGCCAACTCACCCAGCAGCTGCCGACCAATTTCAGAGGGTAAAACCACAGACCTAGATTTAAGTAGATGTATGAAAACTGAGCGTGTCATAATTTGAGAACACATTAAGCGGCGGGACAGCATGGACCACAGCGCCCGTTTCAGTTCTATCGTTTTACAGCTTAATTTTGCAAAATAAGACAATTTTTTAAAATTGCGAATGTCGTGCTTTGCCAAGAACGGTACCACGAAGCAGCAAAATAGCGATATAGGAGGACCTTTGGTCAGTGTTGCCAACACGGATTTTGAAAAAAGCGTAGGCCCGATGAGAAAATTACGTAGAATTAGTAAATTTTGCATATGAAAAGTACGTAGATCTACGTACTTTTTTCTGAGTGAAATGAAGAAGTTAGGTGAAATCGAATGAAACGAGTATTTTGTTATACAATTTCTGTAAAAACGGAGATAGAACAAAGAGTTCTTGGAGTAATATGCATTGGAAGCATTAACCATGCTGTGGTGGTAGACATTTACCATCAGACACAGACACTGTATCGATTCTGGCGTGATTCTCTAAATTTAAAACTAAATTTAACATCAGTCTCTGCTTTTCATTCTGAATTGAGAATGACAAGGATACACTGTTGTTCAATAGGCTAGTTGATACTTTTTGGAATTATATTTTAAATTGTTAATAATTGTTCTATCAGACCGAAAAAATGTATTTTTTTTTACCTACTAAACATTAATTTTAAAATAGATTTTGCATGGACATACACTTATCTATGCTATGACGTGAAAACATTTGTAAACCAACACTCGCAAGCACGTAGGAAATAAACTTTCTGAGTTAATATTATAAAACCATGATCACATGAAAAATATAGTAGTTATCATGATACACTTGGTAAAAGACTCTAGAAAAGTTGTGGTTTAAATTGCCAAGAGAAATAAACATACTTACACATGAACACATGTTTAAAACTTGCTACATCCTGTAATTTATCGACTGAAAGTCATTTCTTTTTGCAAAGATCAATTCGATGTAAGTACTCATTGAATAATATTTAAAGTTTAAAAATTCAACATTAAAGGTTATGAATGTACCTACTAAGTCAAAGAGTTTTGTCGTTTCTCCTTTCACAAATCCTGCGTCCAGCATTAATTTAGTCAACAAAACCACTAACGGGAACCTTTTCTACAAGATACAAGAGTTTTTAGATACATCTTTATAAGAAATAAACATTTGTATAGTTTTTAAGTAAAGTAACGGAAAATATTCTTCTTTATTCTAGTGAATTAAGATATTTTACAAATTTGAAAAAAAATAAAGAAAATACGTAGATTCTGGGCCTGAAGTTAGTAGGTTTGCAGAAAAGGCCTAAAATACGTAGATCTACGTAAAAAGACGTAGAGTTGGCAACACTGCCTTTGGTCACCCTTTTGATATGTTTTTGGCACGCGAAGTATCTATTGGAATCTACGTCTGTGGGTATATACCCCGCGTGATCGCCATGGAATTGATCAGGCAGCTCATGAAGGGACAAGCCAACCCACCGTTTTGGTAAGTAACATATTGGGCCCGTGGAAATATTGGAATCTACGTCTGTGGGTATATACCCCGCGTCATCGCCATGGAATTGATCAGGCAGCTCATGAAGGGACAAGCCAACCCACCGTTTTGGTAAGTAACATATTGGGCCTTATGCCCTGACGTGCCCTTCAGCGTGATATACTTCCCAATGTTCGGCATCCTCAATGACATGGGGCCCAGGGAGCTGGGATAGACCAACCCACCGTTTTGGTTAGTAACAATGTTCTGTTCAGTCTTCAAATTGGCAGTAGGTTTTGACACTCGATTCAGTGCGTCAGCATTGATATGTTACCATCATCAAGGGCGTCGCCAGGCGATGGTTGGGGAAGGGGAGAACAAGTTCATATATATCCGATGGCCTAGGGAAGTGTAAGTTCATATACATGAATGGAGGGTGCAAAAGTATGAATTATGAGGACTTACAGATGGGATTGAAATTACCTAGTGAATTCGTTCAAGTTTCGAAGTGGGCTTTACATTTGGCTACATTTTACCCTCCGCTTGGTGACGCCTTTGACCACCACCTTGTATTATCACACAAAGAAATTATGTTTGACGTTCTCTGGCTCCGTTGCCATCACTGTGATCTCGGTTTAAATACTTGTTGCAATGATATTAAATACCTAGATACACCAACACGAACAAAATCGTGGCCGAAACCTGTCCAATAGGTACATTGGACGACTCCGTAAGCTGATCGCGAAGTAAAAAACAAAATAAGACATTATTTAAATATTGAAAGTCACTTTTAACGCGTACTGTATAAGGTCTTAATTAAAACGCATGCGTCAAAGACTGACAGTTCGAAATGGAAGCTCGCAAAATTTTACGACTGATTGCTATATGCGGAAGAATATAGACCTTATTTCTTTTACTTCTACGCGCAATTCTAAATGCGTTCTGTTAGCAATACAGCGGGTACGGACCGCGAGGTAAGGAGACGGCTATACGGCAACGTTTAACCGAACATAAATTTGAATATCACAAATATTTTATATTAAATCAGTTTACAGTAAATATTAGAACAAAATTTACTTCAAATGCGTTAAATTAACTAACACTGACCTGTTGAAAAAACGACGGTTTACGTACTATAAGTATTAATTACGCATTTTTTCTCGAAGCTTTGCGGCATCTTGAAAATCTCAACAGATCAGCGTTAATATTAATTGTCCCTCTTAGGTGGTCGTTCATGAGTGGATGCCTCGCTGGTTCTACGGCTGCTCTCATGGTGAACCCATTAGATGTGGTGAAAACTAGAATGCAAACATTAACCAAAGGCTCTGGGGAACGACAGTATTCTTCTATATTGGACTGCATCACGTGAGTATTGAGTCAATTGATGACTTCATTGTGAATTTAATCATATAAGGAGATTAGTAAGGCTTTGATGGTAGATTCGTAACATTTTGATTTATAGAAAGCTATACATTTTACTATCAAAACAGTAAAATTCTATTAAGGGATAGTTTAACAGAAATCTCTATACAGGGTTAATTTTAAAACACCAACAACCTCTTAGGGGGTGATTCTACCCATCAACAGGAACAACTTTTATTATGGAACCAACGCTGAAATCGCGAAAAAAAAATGCTGTTTTATACAAAAGTGGCATCAGCTAATCGACGGAAATGTATGAACCAGCTGATTTTTTTTTTAATTGGTCTCATAATAAAAGTTGTTCTTGTTGATGGGTAGAATCATCAATCAATCAATCTGTATAACAGGAATGTGAGCCATGTTTCAAAGAAACTAGGCGATCTCGATGGTGCAGTAGACTAGTTAGCACGTCCTTTCTTCGACCGTGGTAGCAAATTTCGCAATTTCCAGTCATAGGTTGGATGACCAAAAATTTATAATCTCGAGCTCCTCCGTGCTTCGGAAGGCACGTTAAGCCGTTGGTCCCGAGTGCATCTGAAGTCATTATTAGCACCCACTAATTCGCACAGACACTGCAGCAGGGGGGACATTTGTAGGCTGATGATGACAAAAGAGGTCCCGGGTTCGAATCCCGGTGGGGGCAGATGTTTGTGTGATGAATACGAGCATTTGTACACCAGTCATGGATGTTTAATATGTATTTATATTTGTACTGTATATATATTCTATCCGTTACCCCAGTATCCCATAACACAAGCCTTACAGTGCTCACTTTGGGGCTAGGCTAATTGGTGTGACTATTGGAAATATTTATTTATTTATTTTTATTTTCGCCAACAGTACAACGCTTAAATACGAAGGTCCGAGGGCGTTCTTCAAAGGCGGTGCTTGCCGTATGATCGTTATTGCTCCACTATTCGGCATCGCTCAAACCGTTTACTACCTCGGCATTGCCGAACGATTGCTCGGCTACCGATAAACCAAAAAAAAAAACTTACAAATCAGCCTGAATGTCAGCTGTCCTCTTCCGACAGCCTATGTACAACAGAGACAGCAATCTTGCGGCTGGACTCGTTCCTTCCGCAATATAAATTTAAGACAGCTTATTTATATGTTTTTCAATGTTAAATCAAGAAATGTTTAAGTGTGATTTGGATTATTGTTAAAAGAGAAAGGCTATGTGTTTTACTATTCCGATTTAGAATCGAGATAAATTTATTATTAAACAGTTTTATGTTGCTAAGCAAATATGAACTCTATCAGAATGGCCACAAGAGCTTGTTTTGAATATTAAAAATTATAGTAATAGCTTGAATCTTATTAAAGCATTAGTTTTCTGTTAGGTTTGTGATATCAAAATTTCATTTGATTCTTTAACGGTGATATTGTTTTGTTGTCAAGCTGATTGTGATCAAAATGATAAGTTCCTTTTGAAGTTGTTGCTGAACTCTCAAGTGTTAACTGATAAATAGCTAAAAAGATTAGATTAATATTTGTAAGTGGCACAAAAAGAGCCGAAAAAAACACTTCAACGAAAATTCAAAATAATAAAAATATGTTAATGTATTTATTTATTTATTTAAACCAATTAAATTTCTTAAATTTTACCATTGACAATTAATTGTTATTTATTAATATTTAAAAGCGATTAATTTATTTTCGTTTCGTTTTAATTAATTATATATTTGCAGTAGTTTGATGAAATTAAAGATTAATTATGCAACTTGAGATATTAGATAGAAATATTTATATAGAAAATAAAGCCAACATTGTTTTTAACAAAAAACAATGCAAATACCTATAATTACAAAAAAGTGCAAGTTATAATAATCATATTTAATGATGTACTCGAAAAATACCTATTAAAGGACAATGCTCACAAATGTATGAAAATGAAACCCAGGCCCGGCGCAAAAGAAATGTATCTCAGATTTTTAGTATTAATATGTAACAAAATATTAAGTAGGAGGCGTTGTCAAAATATATTTCTAAATGCCATAAATTGCTAGTTGTTTTTTGTAAGGAGCTAAACTTGAGAGATAAAAAATGGGGGATTGAGACCTAAGTATGACATTTAGTCATCTATTCTGATAACCCTTAGCCAAAAAACAGCAGTAAATGAAACTATTTTTATTATTAAGTACATAATATTATTATTACAATATGCCTTACAATATTATTGGTTTTCTAAGTCTAGGATTACATCTTCCAAAGTGTGTCCAGGATGATTGAAATCATCTTGGTGTCTGGCCCAACCCAAGTAATACAGCACACTCATAACATGGGCGCAGCTGCCCAAAGTCCTTTTGCCGTGGATACAGGAACAATAATGCTCTGAGATCGCATTTATACCAACTCCTCTGTACAAAACATACGTATAGTAAGTTTTGTTTCGTACATGTCGAGATTGTATACGGCATCTTAGCAAAACACTGTCTTCGCCATTTATTGCAAGCAACACCGGATGTCTGTACACTTCAATTTCATAGACACCTGTTTGTTTTATATGCTCACTGCAATATGAGCGTGCTATTTTACAGTGGTAAGTGCCCACGGCAAACAATATCAAATCCTCTTGCGACAATCTGGGGAAATCTTCGAACGCCTGGTCATTCGCTGATAAGCGCACAAACGCGGCTCTTTGTCTGTTTAAGTTGTGCTCTAAAACGTAGTCCGCCAAAAGATTTGGCTTGTGCGCTTTTCTATTTATAATCTCAATAAATCGCTCGGTGTATTGACTGTCATCATAGGGCTCTTGGAACGCATTGATAAGCGCTGCGGCTATCTTATAGTCTGTCATTGTTGAGGGCAATGATCGATTAAATACCCTGTATCTAAATATTTTAAAGTCGCGTTTAAATCTTCCATTGATTGTTTCGACAACCCAACGGCACAAGGTGACCAGCCTAGACTTATTGGCTTCTTCACATGTTAGTTGGCTTTCACCATGCCTTTTAGTTGGAGGCATATGGACTACATAGCCATACGTCTCGAGAAGCGGAATTGCATCACGGAATCCCCTGTCAAGAATGAATGAATCGCCTTGTTCCAGGTAATAATTAAGTGGTGCCTCTTCATCTGGTCCTTCATGATTTTGTAGTATCTGCTGCATGATTGAAGCATCTGAGGTTGTGGCTGCGTACGGACCTGTGACATCTAAAATATGTCCATCACCGCAGACCAACATAAAAGGTTTGATGAGATTTGTATATTTGTGGAGACTGTAGCTTTTCCTTTGGAAAAGGAAATTGGAGCTTTTTTGAATGAAAATGTAACTACCATCACATATTATCAACGCTTTCGGCGCTAGGTCGTTTCCAAATATGTAGTTGGGAAGAATTCGGTTTCTTTGGATTACTTCTTCTCTGCTAATGTGGTCAAGGCTCAGATGTAAAGGAACAAAATCATTGCGAATACATTGTCTCACCAATTTGACTTTTCGGTCTATACTTTGCCGAGATTTATTGAAAATCGTTGCCAGTCTAGTACTGGGTTCGCCTGTTCTTATTTTAGAGAGGTAAATGCCTAGATCTTCTCGTGCAGATCTTGATGTGTTAGACAAGGTCGGTACTTGCGCGAATAGAGTATTGAATTGTTCGTGACGCAAGCCAGTCCAGAAATGCAAATCTTCTTGTGCTATTTCGTCTATATTATCGAAATCCAGTAAACATCTCCGTTCCAGTGCTCGGGTATACATATTCACAATATCTACAAAAGTGTCACTATTAAAGTCTGTTTGATGATGTGACACATTGTTAAGCATGTCTTCCAAGGGTGTGTTAAGTAGATGATTTTCACAAATCTTTGCATGCTGTGGTATGTATAGACGATAGTAACTGAGTAAAAATATCTTGATTGAATTAGGCATTAGCCGGAGTTGCATGTTACCACAGTTCTCCATCAAACAACGACGGGAAGTGTTGGCCGCTCTTGTGAAACCTGGAACTGTGATTGCAGCGTCAGCGCGACGGATAGGAGGCTCTGGCGGTTCAGGACGTAAGGTTTGGTCAATTCTATGCCAACAAGGATGGCATAACGACATTGTTCCGTCGAAAGCTAGCTGTAACAAATAATTATATGTTATTGTGATAAGGAACGTGACGATAGTGCACACGTGTCCGATTAAGGAAAGGCTATCATCGCGCGCCTAGTACCTTCCCCACATATCTACACGTCTACGATATATAAGATGTATGTAAGGTTAGTTGAAGGATAGAGAAATATAGAGATCGTCGTAACAGACAGTATTGTGGTTTGTCTTATACCTTCCCGCCGGGCTGACCTATTATGACCTACTTGAAAGTACGTAGGTACACAAATAAAAAATAAATAAACAATGATGTTGTCTTACCTCTCGTAGCGGTTGCAAGTACTGGAAAATCCGCTCAGCCAAGTCTCTCCGGGAATCGAAAAAACGTTGAGTCAAAACGTGTCTACGAACACCTCGGTACAGTGAACGATCACACACAACACACCTGTTCATTTTAAAAAATATTTATTTGATTTCAGGCGAATATAATTATTTTTATCTTAACTACGCAAGGGTTGGTGCCTGAAGATCGCCTCTTGTATGGAACCTTCTATCAAAAGACAGATGATTCCTTTTTTTTTTTTTTTTTTCTGTATGGCTTCGCACGGTTTGTGCATTTAGCCAATGTCAAGTGTAAAATGTTTACATATTTTATAGCACTCGTGGTCAAAATATTAGTCAAGTCAAAGTAAGTGGCAGTCAAGTCAATACCCCTTTCCCTATGTTTCAGTAAATGTGTGGGGATTTACTGGAACCTCCCCGTGGACTTCTTGAGGGAACGTCGAAAGACACCTTCCGCTATTTTGTTTCACTTGCCAACACTTGTGCATGTTTCCGAACACTTAGTGGTTAATAATCCACCATTATTAGACACTAACATCCGCCACAACACAATTTTTAACAAGAAAAACAAAACTGCTAAAGTGACGCTTCCCGATCCCGCCAAAAAGTCAGATGATTCCTTATTTCAAATCTTAAAATCATGACATTAACTTTTTAATATAACTGCCAACCGTAGGCATTGCAAGAACAAAGAGTTTACCTAAACAAGGAGGCTGTAATGTAACGGACGTTACACTACCTGATAAGGTTCGAAAATACAGCGAACCTATGAGTGCGAGTGAAATAGCAGTTGAATGTTGGTTCGTTTTTGATGTGACGGAAAGGCTTTGGTTTGATTTCTATGAACATCATTCAAAATCATCATTTACACCCGTAAAAAAGAATTAGCAAAATGTTACGTTTAGAAACGAATATTGACTAAGTTTTTTATTTAGTATTAAATTACTAGTTTTTACTAATCAAATGAGATATGTTTCGTTTGCGCCGGGCCTGGGTATTTTTTGAGCATTGTCCTTTAAAGAAAACTTTTAATTTTTCTTACTTTAATATCGAATGTGGTTGTTTTAATTGACTCCGAGTATTTAGAGTATGAAAATGTATTTCAAAGAAACATAAATTATGAAATGGAAAATACTGGCAAATGCTAAAATCAACAGATAATAATAATTATAAACAAACTCGTCTTGTTCGAATCTCAATCGCTCTATTATGGCAAGATAGATTTTATTAATGTTGATATCAATCTTTTACTGATTTATTTAATTAAAACATAGCTTTGCCAGTGTTTTTCTAATATCCGTGAAGTGTTAATATTATTTAATCAGAAATAATTGCATAATGCACGCAAAACTTAACTTTGCGGAATCGCCATCGGAAATGCTGCAAATAGAGATATCATTTAATTTTAAGATTGATAAAAGCCAAGAAGAATGAACTGAACAAAATATGTATAATGTCGACAAACATTTAGAAAGAGACAAAGACAACCAATATATAGACGAACTATGAGCCAGCTCACTACTTCGTTTCTTTTCAGTTCTTAATGCTGTCACGTTCGTTGCTATAGTAACAGAAAAAGATAACATGTATCTTTTACAATCATTCTATTTAAATATTTTAAATAAAAGCCTGCGCAGGCGAGGAATTTACGTTCGCCGAAATAGTTCTCAAGGAGAACTGCATTAAACGGATTAAAAATACAGCGTATAAAAAGTCCCCCGAACAACTGAGTACACTGAAAGGCCGGACACGGGGTCAATTACCTAACGGGATTGCTATCGCTATCGCTGAAGTTTTCTTTTTTGTTTTTTCTGACCTCCGA